GAAACTGCTTGTTTTGACAGTGTTGTGACAAAGGAAAATAATTTAAATGTAAAGAGTATAACTTTTAATTTAGGGTTCTGCTGGTTTGAAACATCGAGGCTTCCTGATAAACCAGTAACTGCATTAAGGAGCACCCCTGAAGGAAACTCTGAGCAGGCAGATTGAGGTATCCCTAGAAGAACCTGCTAATGTTCTACGTTTCAACTGGGAATGCAAATGTCTGTGGCCTGTATTGAGAACATGAGTTAAAATGGCACTGACCTTGCAGGCAAATGTAAATAAAGTAAAAACATCAGTGAAGTCACTTCGTCAGTTTAGGATTTTACAGTAGTATCCACTACATGATCATAGGTTGAGTAGTTTGCTTACATTTCTTGACTGTAGTGCCATGTCATGAAAGAAACAACTCTACCTTTTTACAAAATGTACTTTTATTTTTTTCTGGAATATTTGGGGTATGTGTTTGAAAAGTATTTTACCCTTGGATTGTAAAATAGAAACCTGGTATATAAAACATGTAATGAAAATGCAGCTGTAGTCTCTATGATAGTTGGAGTGGTTTAATAACCTGCTTTAGTAATCCAATATGTGATACTAACTCTTTGTGATCTCCTAAAGCCCTTCTCTCTTCAAATCATGATTAGCCTGGGGTCAAGAACCAAATGAATTCACTTTGGATTTTGATCATGTGGTGAACAAAATAGGAACACCCTTGCTTTGTTCATTCACTTACATTTCTGTGATTATGCAACTTTAAAGTTGTATTTACAACTACATCATCTGATCTTTATTTAAAGAATACTTTTAGTTTACATTTACTGTGAAAGCATTTCCATCATCCTCTTGCCCTTGTATGATCATAGAATAGCCTGGGTTGTGAGGGACCTCAAAGATCACCTTGTTTTACCTTATCCCAACGCCCCATGCCATGGGCAGGGATGCCACCCCCTAGATCACTGTTGCCCAGAGCTTCATCTAACCTAGCCTTGAACACTTCCAGGGATGGGGCATTCACAGTCTCTCTGGGCAACCTGTGCCAGTGCCTCACCACCCCCTGAGTGAAGAATTTCTTCCTAACCTCTAATCTAAATCTCTCTTCTTTTAGTTTAAAACTCTTCCGCCTTGTCCTATCGTTATCTACCCAAGTAAAGAGTCCTTCTCCAGTCTTTTTATAAGACCCCTTTAAGTACTGATAGGCTGCAACGATGTCGCCCCAGAGCCTTCTCTTCTTCAGGCTGAACATCCGCAGCTCTCTCAACCTGTCTTCATAGGACAGATGGTCTAGCCCCTTGATCATCCTCGTGGCCTTCTTCTGGACCCGCTATAACAGCCCCACATCCCTCTTGTGCTGGGGGCCCCAGACCTGGGCACAGTACTCGGAGTGAGGCCTCAAAAGGGCAGAGCAGGGGCCACCCCTCTGGTGATGCAGCCCAGGACGCAGTTGGCCTTCTGGGCTGCAAGCACTCACTGCTGGCTCATGTTGAGCTTTTTGTCCACCAGAACCCCCAAGTCCTTCTCTGTAGGGCTGTTCCCATTGAGTTCTTCTCCCAGTCTGTGCTCAAATCTGGGATTGCTCTGGCCCAGGTGCAGCACCTTACACTTGTCCTTTTTGAACCTCATTAGGTTTACATGGGCCCACTTCTGAAGCCTGTTGAGGTCCCTTTGGGTGGCATCCCTTCCTCCCCTTCTATCAACTGCACTGCTCAGCTTGGTGTCATCTGAAGACTTGCTGAGGGTGTCCTTGATCGGCCCTGTCGGAGGCCGTGTGGCTCGTGAAGGAGAAGCTGGCCTTCACCAAATGCAGGTGAATCCAGTGAGGCAGGAGCCAAGGCCTGGTGCTCGACCTCCTGGAGCTGGTGGAGGTGGGCTCCATGCTGCCGGAGCCAGGCATGTTCCCATGCAGTGCAGGAAGAGAAGCTCAGCAGCGGCAGAGGTGATTTCAGGGAGTCAAGCATCAGGGAGAAAGGAGGGAAAGAAAATGGCTGAACGTGCCATGAGAAATACATTGATTGAAATAATGACAGTTTTTGATTCAAATATCGTTTTTACATGTTGTCAATCGGTTTTAAAGTAGTTGTGATCATGATGATATACCCAAATAGTTAACAGGAAGAACGTACAGGCCGTTTTGTTGTATTTTCGAAATAAAGCAATGAATGACAATTTCAGACTATGAGCATCATTGCTGCTGAAGTTTTTTTTGTTGTTGTTGTTTGTTTGTTTTTTTTTAATTTTTACAAAAGCCTTTACTGGGGCACAGTTCAACTTGGGAATTGTTGCAACTGAAACGTAGGATTGGGGAGGCTAACTGAGCAAAAGCGTATTTGTGGTGTGTGTGGTTTTGTTGTTTTTTTAGGGGAGTTGTTTTTTTTAAACCCACCAAAACAGAAATATTTGTTTTTCGTGGCAGCACTGCGTGTGTGGTGCAATCAGCATGGTATTAGCTGTCTGTGACGGTACTAACTCGTTGCTTATTTTAGCATTAAAAAATGTTTCCTGCGAAATACAGGAAACTAATTCAAAAACACTCTTTGTTGCCTTGATAACTCTTTTTTTCTTCCTGCAACAAAAAAAAACAAGGAAAACAAACAGGCATATAAACGTGTTTCAGTGTCAGTTAAAAATGAATGGTTGTTTCTATATCAGCACTGACACTGATAAAATCTCATTGACCCTACTCGAAGTGAGGGAATACGCTACTGTTTCTTGTGTCTTGGGCAAAAGTAAAATATTAGGAATTTCACAGTATTGTATTTTTTTTATATTGATGTAACAGTGGAAACAAGATTCAGGTTATTGTATGTGAGAGTTTCTAATTAAGCTCTTCCTGTTTTTTTATAAGCTTGTGGTTAATGTTAAAAGAAAAATACTTCAGCGTAGGGGCAGGGGGAGGGAAGGATCAGACTTTAGTTTGGCATTTCCTAATTTGCTGACTTTGGGACTGGGCATTTTGAACTTTTCTTCCTCTCTTGTTCTTCTCTTCCTCCTATGGAAGAATAAGGAAGTAAGATGTTACTCTGTAGTGTGCAACAGTATTCATCTCAACCAAGTATTCTGTAAGAGAATTTCACATAAGTTTAGGTCTTTTGGAGGGAGAAATTTGTTTGAATCTTAAAAGTTTTGGGTGTCAGGACTAGCGTGCATTAAAGAGAAACCAGCGGTCTCTGCTGCTCTAGTCTGTTGGTTACCGGTGTCAAACCAAACCAGTGGCCCTGATCCTGTAACAGCAGCAAATTCTCTGCATGGTGATCCCAAAATCTTAATTGTAAAGTAGCAATAGAAACTTCACACCTGAAACAAAACCTAGTTGAGATTTAAATAATAATAATAATAAAAATTACTGCAAGAGTCAGTAAGACTGTGATCCTGTAAATGTGACACATCAGCTCCAAGAGATAAATATGACATCACAAGCTTTAAACTGAAGTCAAATGGAGTTTTTCTTTTCACATGACCTTTTCATCTCAGGCACTTTTACAGGTGCAAGACGGATGAGTTCAGCAAGTGACTTCAGGATTTTTGGTTATGACTGTTCTTGCTGTAGACCATGTTTTTGGTCTAGATCTCTTGGTTTTCACCCGGAGCTGGGAATTGGCTTCTGAGTCTCAGCTAAGCCACAAATCTCTTACTGGATTTTGGGATTTATGAGGAACATGAGCATACAGTGCCTTAGCAATGTGCTTGACTTCTAACGAGCCGGAGCAGAGTAAATCAACAGCACGCCTTTGGAGACTTGAAGATGATTGCTCATGAGCTCCCCCGAGTCAAATGCGAGTTGTTGATACAGACTTCTTTAGGTTAACTTTCTAACGTCATCTGTCTGCCTTTCTTTTTCAGTCTCTTACTCATTCACTGTAGTGAGCTGAGTGTGCTCTGCTCATTCTCATCCTGTTTTGGCTCCTGCTCTGACAATTGCCCTAAATGTAGAACATGAAGGGAAGCTTTAGCTATTTTGCTTGGTTGATACTCAGAATCGATAGCATTTGCAGATTTTCAGTCTAAACTTGCATGTTGTAGTACTTAACGGGTTGTGTAGTAAAAATTCTGGTGTGTTGACAGGGTATTTTGGATTTTTAATTGATCATAACTACTTTCTTTGTTGTAAGAACTTATAGTTCTTAAAAAGATTATAAATGAATAATGCTAGAAATCACTAGACTGTGTACTGCTGGCAGTGAAGGGCAGTCTTCTGCTATGTTCCTGAAATAAGTTTTTGGGATGACCTTGACTTTTACTGTCAGGTATTAAAAATGTTTCAACTGTCTTGAAGTAGAAGAGTGCAACCAAAAGTAACATGGGAAATTCAAAATTGTATTATGTGAAACTGTCATGATGCTTATTCAGTGTGCCCCGGAGATGAAACACCACAGACTTCTTTGAGTTTTGTATACACACATCTCTAGTGATGGCTTATGTGGTTGATTTGCTAGATAACGGGAATTAAGGCTTCTACTTCCAGGCCTAACCTTTAAAAGATTTTTCTTCTAATGTATCTCTTTTGTTCTATCAGATGGATAGCACGTCACCAAGATTTGACTGCCTTTCTGAAATATTTTAGGTACACAATATTTCAGTTTCCCTGGCTAGAAAAATAATTTTTGTTGATAGTGTTGCTGGAAATGGTTCCGTGCATCTTCCCAGTCTTATGACCTATAAAACAAAGTGACATGGTGAGCAGCAATGAGATGTCAAATACCTGAAAGCTTTAAGTCCGCCAAAGACGTAGGTTGGAAGGATGAGGCAGTTCAGTGGGTGGCTTTATGATTTTCCAATGACGCTGTCCTCAGCAGTAGCCATGTTTCTGTTTAGCATTTAGGTTTTCACCCCAGGGTGGAAGCTGTAAGTGAGAAGGATGCTTGAAGTCTGCTATTACTGTCAGTCTACTTTCTGGAGTACAATTCAGCTCTGTTACCATCTGCGATAAGAACATTTGTCTTGATACGACACTTTAATTTGTATATTTATATAATGTTGGTTTTGCTGTTTTGTTTGTTTTTCAGACACACGATGAACCCACTGATACAAAATACAGCTAGCTAAACAGCTATAAAATGCCCAAATTTGCATCTACAAAAACAGTTCAAATAGAAAATTCGGACAGTGATAGCACCATGGTGGAAAAACCAACTGCAAGAAAGGTAATAAAATTATATTCGTGTTCCTTTCATTTTGGTGAAATTAAAAGCATGTGTTGTATCACAGTTTTTGTTGCTGTAATGGGAAGAAATAAATAAAAAAACTAAATTCTGAAATCTTACCTACAGAGGAAAAAAATCTAGTGCAATTTTTTACATGCTTTCATGCCTAAATTAAATTAGGGAACAGAATTTATGCCTTTTGTTATAGCTTACAACTTAGATCAAAAGGAAGCTGGATATGCTGATATTTTTAATGCAAGTTAGTGCATAATTTCCGTATCTTAGATCATATGAAGTCTTTATACACTCACAAGAGCAAGGATTCATATTTAATTTAATTTTACAGTGTCTTAGTCTCTGTAACTAGCAGGTGAAACATTTCTGAAGGCCTGTAACAGTGCAGACCAATGAGCGAACACAAGTTTCTTAGGATCCTTTGTAACACAGGTACTTGTTCCCCTCTGGGAGGACTCGAAAGCCAAATGCTGCAGAGGGGTTGAGAGTAGCTCCAGTACAAGTGAAGCCATGTTAAAAACTGTACAATCCATGTTTGACTGCTGGAAAATAAAGGGATATGCAGGGTCCAGTGGTACTAAAAGCTGGTCTGTTCATAAATGTGAAGTATCCTTTCATTTTCTAACTTCTAGAGGCAAGTCATAAATAACCCAGTTCTCAGTTTTGTCTGCATGGTACACTTGTAAAATGGACAACTGTAATTAGCTGTAATGAATAGTAACAGTTATAACTTAAAATACAGAATATTATTCTAAGTTGTATGTTGCCCTGTGGAGACAGAATCCATTTAGCTCCCAAATGATGTTTAAAGCTATCTCCTTTAGAAAAGGAGATGGTGTGTTGCTCATACTTAGTATTTTGTTGAAGTCTTTCCTGGAAGACCACTTAATGAATAAGACAGGTGGAGATGAAAAAAAAAAAAGGGGGGGGAATAGAAGATCCAGCATCTGCTTTAAAATGTATGTCTTCCAAAAAGATCTATACAAAACATTAGACTTTTTAGCTTCTTCTCAGTTTCTTTTATGGGTCCCAGTAAAGTGAGGTAAAAATATTGATATCTGCTAACAGTGATAAATTACATAGCTGAGAAAGAAGTTAGAGTGAAATGGGGAGAGGAAGTTGACTTATAGTAAAGGGACAAAAAAAACGTGTGTTTATTTTCCTTCTTGTTCTTCTTTAGCATATAGTCAAGTTAACTGAAATACTGGGAAATTCAACACTGGAAAGGAGGGGGGAATCAGTGGGACCTAAAAACAGGAGGAACAGAAAGGGTATTGCAGTGAAATCTAGCAGAATTCAGTACTGCCTTTTTATGTATTTACTTGTAAGTAAGTTAGAGTTTCTAAAGCTTTTAGATGATTTATTTAACTAACAAAAATATTTTCTGGCTTAATAAACTCACATCTTGACACTGCAGTATTTCTGGGCAAAAAAAACTTCTGACACCTGAAAATCTTTGATAAGCAATGGCTGCTCATTCTAGGAAACCACCTGTGTCATTTTTTTTTCAAGTTTTATATGTGTTTTTAATTAAAAAAAAATCTAGAACAGGTTAAAGTATGTTTTCATCTTTTCACTTGCATCAAAAAAGAAATAGTGGGTTTTCTGGCATATGTCAAGTTCTAAATTTTCCTGTTTCTATGCTAAAGATACAGCTTGAAATGCTTGGAATGCATTTACTTATAGGTTTATGTGTATACAAATAGTTGTTCATATTTTTATAGTTCAAATTACTTTCTTCATCCATAAGCTCTGAATTTTACATACAAAGAGCTCTGCAGTCTGAGTTAAAAATAAATCAACTTGTCAAACCAAGTGTTTAGTGCTGAGGCCTCCTTTCCTCTTCCATGCCCCACCTCTGACTCTCCTCTCCCTGTTGCGTGCTACTATAGTAGAAAAATGATGCCAGTGGCTGGTGAATTTGCAGCCATTGCCAAAGGAGCTGCCTTAGCAGTGACCCTTACGCCCAGCTCAGTGTTTGCTAGTTGCCTTGAGATCTTTCTCTGCAGTAATCTCCTGTCTCTGATCGCTATAAACTGGTCCCTCTGCTGAGCCGTTTAACACCCATATCCTGCTATCTCTGCAAAAGCTGGGTAAGCTTTTGAAATGCAGATACATTCTGGCAAAAAAGCTGCACAAAGGTAGTAGTTGTTATGAATGAAGTTAGTAATTTTTCCAGGAAAGAGAAAGCTGAACACGGTGTCCTTTATTTAAGCACCAGGTAGGGGAGGTGGAAATATGGTAAATTTTCATTCGATTTAGAAAGGACTAAATTAACTTCCTATTTTTAGTAGTCACATGAAACATTTCCATTGTCACTTTGGTTGTGGTGGTGGTTTGTCCATAGCTGGTTGCTCTAACAAGGAAATGCATGTTGGTAAGACTGTACAGTGCACTAATTAGAAACATGGACAAACACGTTGGGTTACTCAGTATTTGAGATTAGTTTTCCCAAGTAATCCAGCCTTCACTGGCATCTTAAAGCCCAGGAGAAAGTGGAAGTTTGACCAAGGACATGGCTATGTGGACTAATTACATGGATACCAAAAAATAAATTGACAAACTGCTCCCTTTGTTGCATTCAGTCTTGTTCACTATCTACCTTGGCATGTTGTTTGAGGTGTAATTTGAGACTAACGTAGGATTAGGTTTGGGGTTGTACGGAAATAATAAGAATAAATAATGCTGAAAAGCTGTGATCCTAAGTAACGTTACAGAATTTCTTAAGCATTGCAGTTAATCCTTGCCTGTAGTCATGTTGTTAGCATAAGTGCAGTTTGGTTACTTTGTTTTCCTTATTTCGAGGAAAAATGAATATATGATTAAGATAGTAAATAGTCATGTAAGTCACACACACACACTGTTCTTCAACATAAAAACAAGCAATAGGCAGTAGTGTTCAGCTGGCCCTTGAATAATGTGCAGTTTCTCCTCCTGTATTAGGAAAAAAATAGACAAAATATTGCCAAAATGTAATCATTTGGATTCAGCCTGGAAAATGACTTGAAATTCAACAGACAACAGGGTAACACTAAAATTTGAGTTAGAAGCAAAGTAAATCAAGGGGCAAAATTGTATCGCACAAACATGAAACTAAAGTGAAGATGGATTAGGCAAAATTGGATAGTGATTATTTAAAGTGAAGTATCCTTAGAAAGTAGTTGAAATTTCTGTAAAGCAGATAAAGATACGTATTAGATATGTAATATGTACATATCTGCAACCATGGATTTAAAAGCAATAATAATTTAAGCATTAGAACTTCTTATGAAAAAGATTAGTTAACCTAATGTAATACCGTAAGGAGGTGATGATGCTGAGGTATAAAGAATACAGAAGTAAAAATTTTTAGTGGTCCTTAGTATAAAAAATGCATTCTATTTTTCATGTAGCTTTGGCTTTCTTTTCAAATCTTTTGGTAGGAGAGTGCAATCGAACCACTTCTGCACTTCGACATGTAAACTTGTTCTTACTTCTGTGTCCACTAATACAAGTTTGTTGGTGCAGAAGTATTTTTGATCTACTTGTAGAGCTTAATTTCTCTGACTATATGGATGGAAGATAGGTAGTTTAATTATAGGTGTTCTTACATTCAACAGTCCTAAAGTTACTGTTGCTATAAGACTTAATCTTTCATACTTGTTGAGTGAAAGTTGATATTTACTATGCTGTTCTGATAACCAGTAAATAGCTATGTGAACTAGCTAATTTTTTTTTAGTTCTTTTGAGAACTTAAGAACATGCATGGAGTAATATTCAGGTTAATAAAACGAGCTTCTAGCATATATGTTATATGGTACCTGTTTCTATTTTGTTTGCTTGCCCTACGAACATAAAAATTGATAAGACTGTACAACAGGTAGATCCTTCAGTGTTTGCAAGAGGTATTTTATAAACATAAGGAAATTTTAATTTTTCTGAATGTATATCTTCAATGGCAGAAAGTCTGCAAGTAAAAGGTAGATCTGTGGTCCAAAGGAGAAATGCATTTTCGCTTTGTAAAAAGTAAATCTCATCTTAGAAGGCTCCAACAATAGTTATTCCCAAAGCCATTTTAGTACCATGCAGAACGTGCTTCAGTATGTAATTATTTTTGATAGGCAGAAAGAAATGCTCATTCTACTGAGGTTTAGTACATCTGCTAGATTATAAATTATATGGCACTGCGTTGTCTCCTTTTGTGTATTGTCATTGATTGTAGACATAGCAGAAAATAGAGCTGGAATGGGATATTAAGAGATTGTCCAGGCTGCTGTTTGTTAGCCTCCTGAGACTGTTTCTGTGGAACAGATTACAAATGTCCTCATGGTAGCACATCAGTATGGTTTTGCTGAGGTAGAAAATTCTTCTCGTTACTACACCTCCCAGTGAGGCAGTGTGTTCAATGTTGAGATGCGCAGCTCTGGTTCATCCATTTGCCCCAGAGCACAACAAGCTGTACACGGTTCTTGACAAATCTTGGCCAGACCTTTTCTTTGAAGCCTTGACTGGTGGAAACTCCACAGTCTCCTTGGGCAGTTGGAAAGAGTGGAAAGGTAAATTACCTTTACTTGCCCCTTGTAGTCTAAAGCCATTAAACGTTCTCTAAGTCTAGTGGACAAGGAGAATATGCAATGCATTTTGTTTTGGAGCACTTTTTTAGTTTACGGATCTGAACATTATCATGTCTTTATTCAATGTTTTATTCAGTTGGTAGTTTAGATGAATGATCTGCCATAGAAAATCCACAGATGTTCTGAATTATAGGCCCCTGAAGGAAAGGTGTCAGCTTCATTTTAGTTTGCTTTTGTGGATCGCAGGAAGCTAATCAATAGACTTATTCAGGCTGAATTTTGAACCCTGCGTGGACCCTGAAAAAGATGTAGGTGGGAGCAGGAGTAGGTGCAACAGGGAATGCTCACTCTTTAAGCTGAAGTACCTGTTCTAACCCACAGGGCGTGCTGCCTCCTCTTGCCTTCCTTTACTTGAAGTTGAATCCAGGAGGCTGTTACGAGTTACCTGAATTTTTATGTGGGGTCTTTGAAGAGTCTGAAGAACCTTGTTTTTATCCTGTTCTTTTCCTTTTGTTTTGTATTTAAACTATTATCAAATGAAGACTGCTCTACAAATTCGCTAGTGATTATATTTTTAATTTGCTATTGATCTTTGCAACTCCCTCTTGCCCAGGCGTGATACTGTCTGCATACCTAATTGCATCTCTATCAGCGTAGTCACTGGAAATACTAAATAGTATTGGGTTTGGCACTGACTTCTCAAACAGCCTGTTTGTTCATTGCATCCTTCAGATTGGAAAGGCAGGCCCCTGGTTGTTCATGACATTCTAAGTAGCCCTTTAGCCTATTCGGTGTGCTTTATTGTTTGTATGTGGTCACTGCCTAATTTGTATTGGATGCTTACTTGATTTAAAGCTTTATCGAGTACTCTGCTATATACCATTTTAATATATTTTGTTTCTCACAGAGTGGGAAACTTGCTTGCTTTCAAAGCAAGTAAATTTAATACAATGAACATCACGTAAAGAGGTGCAAATTTTAGGATACTTCTCATTTGAAAAGGATAAATGTTTATTTCCACAATAGCTAAGGAGCAAAATACTCATTCTAAGATGTGTCTTGTAATTTCTGTGTATTGTGTGCAGCCTGTTCTTTCACTTCATTGCATTTTTATTTGTCTGAAAGTATACATTTTGAGCATGCTCTCCTTTTAAGTAGATGATCATACAAATGAATATTCAGTGATTAACAAAACAAAAACAAAAGTAGTGTGCCAATCAAATTTCACATAGTGCATGTACACAGGAATAAATGCGAAGTTATCAACTTATTTTAGCAGCTTGTGCTTCTTTAAACACCTGCTAATTAGTTTTAGAACTAACTAGTTCTAAAAAAATGTTGCTTTTTAAGGATTTCCAATTGGGAAAGGCTTGTCTTTTTTCTACAAAACAAGGTTAAACCAGTTATTTGAGTGTTTCTTGTTTACAAATCTTAACTGATGCTTTCTTTTGCCTTGTAACTAATGTAAGATAATATCCTAAAGACAGCAATAAAAATGTACTGTCATTCTATCATGTTGTGGGAGATTCTTATAGGTATGTATGAGAAATAACTGGATTAAGCTGTTTGGGACAAGGAAAGAATGCTCCTGGTGAGACTGGGCAGAAGTGGAAGACTTTAGTAGAAGAGCTCAGAGTGGACTTAATGTAGTTTGGGTCTGTCCTTGTCAATGGATATGTGTGTTTGCAGACATTAATGATCAGTTCTGTTAGATTGGTTAGCTTCATTTAAAGGTAATAACATTCACATTTTACCTACCAAGAGCTTATGGGAATCTTAGGGTTTTCTAGATTTTCTTTTCTCATTTTCTATTTTTTTTTTTAAATGCTTTTCTAGCATTTAAGGAAAAGGCCTGGGGAGGCGTTTGCTTTCTTTGGGGTTTTGGAGAGGGGTGGTTTTGGTATGTGGGTTCTATTTTCTGTTTTGGCTTGTTCTGGTTTGGGGGGAGAGATGGGTAAGGGGTGTATTTTTTGCTTTTTTTTTCCAGGTTTCCAAACTTGGACTGACTATAGGTTTCTCTGGGGGCATCAGCCCGCTACTTCAGGAATTCTCCTTAAATAGACTGATTCCTACCCTTCTTTGTGACTTCCCTGGTACGGACATCTGTTGTCTGAACCACGTAGGGGGGATGTTTGTGGGTTCTCTTTGTAATCATTGCTGCCTGTCCTCTAGGCGACAGTTTAAACTCGGAGCATCAGATGATATAATCAAGCTACCCTTCTTACCTGCCTATGTTTTAAAATAAAGGATGAGTGCTCTTGAGTGCCTTTGCTTGGCATTGCTTGCTAGTTTCCTCTAATCAGAATAAATCTTTTAACTTCTTGCTTCAAAAGCACGAAGGAACAGCCTTTAGTTTTGCGCTGATTGGCAAGTAAGTGTATGTTCCTCTTCTACCTTTAGAAAATGAATCTACTAGTGTTTTCACTCGATCAGCTGTTGAATAATACAGAGCTGTGGAGTTGGGGTAACTGAATAATGTACCTCTACAGCACATAATGAAGAGAAAATGTCATTTCTCTGCATTGGCTCTTGATTGGTATGCAAAAATGTTGGGCTTTGCAGAGGGATCTTTTAAGCATTCATCTTACTAACTTGCTGCCTTTTCCATACTTCAAGCTCCTAGATTATCAAACAATTGTTCATAAGTTATTGAGTCCATCCCATTTTTCTCTGTTTATTGTAAAATGTCTTATAAGCAAAAATACTAGATTTATGCACCTAAAAATTCCAAATTGTACATATTTTTTCATGAATTTCATACCAGTTAAATAAAATTTCGGTATAGCTTGTCTATGTTCTTGGAAAATTTTGCTTCAGAAGATGATGCACTAACTATCCCTGTTGAAATGGAAGGGAAGTTCTCTGTATGGATGGGTTTGGGGATGGGGAGGAGGCAGGGGAAGGTTCTTAGGGGTTTTTGTTATTGTGTTATTGCTCAGTCTGAATGGCAGTGTGGGCTTTTAATGTACTGTTAATGTGATTATTGCACTATAGTCAGGGAAACAAATGGGCGTGGTCATTAAAGGTTCTGAGACTTAGCAAAGTCTTGTCCAGTTGGTGGTGTTCCTTTGACCATTAATTAAGGCTCGAGTAGCAAACAGCACTTCTACAGTGATGTACCTGGAAGTAGATATAACACAGAAGATTCTCACTTTAAAAGGAAAGAAATGCTATTGATTATTTTCAGTAAGGTTACCTTAAAAGGTTTTGAATGAGCTACTATGTAATGATACAAGTACTTGCACATACGCTCTCACATAGCAGTCTTTTCAGTCTGTATACGTTATGAGACTCTCCTGCTTTATGCAAAAATTACTTAGTATACTTTTTATTTATATTAGAGCAAGGACAAGATTGCATCCTACAGCAAAACTCCAAAAGTGGATAGGAGTGATGTGGGGAAGGAGATGAAAGAAAAGTCTTCCATGAAACGTAAACTTCCTTTTACTATTAGTCCATCCAGAAATGAAGATCGCAATTCAGACACAGGTAGAACCTTTTTATTTCCTTAACTAATTATTTGTTGGTAAAATACATCCTATTTTAATTAATTGTATATTATGTTTTTACATTGATTTTTCCCTCTAAAAAGGATACTAAGTATAAACGTTGCTTGCTTGCTTCTGATTGTTGCATCTCAGTCTGATAGGCTTTCATCCTATCAGATGTTACCAAAAGCTAGCATGCCATTGTAGTTTATCTACATTTTCCAGATCTTTCCTAACCTTGTTCTTTTGCTTCCATTTTAGTCATTAAGACTTTATTTTCATGGTCATCTCTAGAGGTCCATTTGCTAAAGCAAGTAAATTGATGGAAAGATGTGTAAGTGCCTTGATTTGTGGCACAGATCTTAGCCTTTTGTAGCCTGTTGTTGGTGGGGGGGAAGATGGGGAGTGCTCTGTCCTATATACAAAAGTTGCTAAGGTTATGGAACTAACTGAACTAGCTATGGAGAACAAACTTCTTTCAGTTTGAGCTCCTCTGATCTGCTCAGGATGCCTTTTCTGCACAGGCTGGTAGTTTTTCCTGACTTAAGCATATTCTATTACAACTGATTTGAAGACTTCAAAATATCATTCTTAACATGGCTCTTTTCAAATCAAGATGGAGGAATCTAAATGTAATTCCAAGAGTACAATTAACCTAATTAGGTATATGCAGTAGTCCAGTAACAGTTCTGTTGCCAGCAAGACAGTATCCAAGCCCTCTGGATGGTCACCAGAAGGTCTGCTCCCCACATTTCTCACCCGTTCAGTCTGACAGTTTCTCATTTAGTACTTACCATAATTTTTTTCAGAAAAGTTAATTAGTTAACATACTTGTATTTAATTCTAGTTATGTACCTAAGTATGTACATACTTTTCGTCCAGGATTGATTTCTTGCAGACAATTTGATTCTTGGATGTTACAAACATATTTTTGTTAATGTAAAGAGAATGTGGTATAAAATCCAAATTTGAAATAGTTGCATTGCAAACCAGAACTTTTGGATTTAAAGCTCAGTTTTCAGTGTGTTTACAGAATTCTACAGTCGTATACTATTCATAATACCACTTGATTCTGAAAAGACCATGTGTAAGTTATATATGTACGCTCCCAGCATTTGCTTTGTTGATTTTACTGTTTGGTGTTATACCATAACTGTTTTTTTGTAGTGGAATTAAATGTATTTAGAAGTAGTCTTTAGCACTTATTTAATGTGTTCTGTGTTGGAAATCTTTTGTCATTTCTCACCATCTCCATCAACTTTAATTCATTGTCACAACATCTTGTAAGGTAATGTAAAATTTTGTGTTTTCTCTTGCTCTAGCATCTATTGTCACAGTTGCCGCAAACAAGATGGATTAGTCTAGCTGTCTAGACAAGCACAGACAGTGCAGTGCATACACTACAAAACCTTTTAAGTTGTAGCAGAGGGATGATGGAAACAGTTCAAGTAGGGGCAAGAAATACTTCACAGAACAATGGAAGGCACATAACTCTTAATTATTTTGTAGCAAACATCAGTGCTTATTGTCTGATTCATTGTTGACATGTTGCAAACTTCTGTGTGCATTACTGCTGAGGAAGGAAGGCAAGATAACTATCCTGTTTCACAGGTGAGGAACTTGGTACCTAGGCTTTCCAAAGGCCATAGAGGCTGGGACCATTACTGGGACCAAAACCAAATAACAACAAAGAACAGTTCTTGTCTTGCTGATTCTGTACCTAACCAATTGGCTTAGACCAGTGAGCATTAACTACTTACATATTGCTGCCAAGCTGCTGAATTCTTACCTCTGGCAGAAGTGTCTCCTTGCTAACTAGGTACAGAGAATGGCAAATATTATTTGGGAAGAAAGAAAGTTTTGGAGGTGACAGAGTAACCAGATATGGAATCAAGAAGAGGGGATGAAATGCCTCTTGTTAGCTAGTAGTACTAGTGGGTTGGGGGCATGAAAGGGGTGTTGTTTTCTTAAAAAAAAAAGGGGTGCAGGATTCTGTTTTCTTCTGGTACATGTTGAAAATATGTAGAAGCAGTCTAGGGAAGATGATCAGAGGTTATGTACACAATTCATAATAAGAAAAGTTCAGAAAAATTGTGGAACTACTGCATTCTTCACCCTGTCCATTATAGTTCCAGGATGTATTTTATCCTTTCCTTGTTGTTTTACTTTTAATTGACTTCCAATATATTTTTTTCAGAGTTAAGTATAGTAAAAATGTTCTCACTAGTTTGCTAAATAGTTTATTTGTAATCAATAAAACACCATTGTGTTTGCTTTCCAAATGTTTTTAAAGACTTGGCGTCATCTAAAAACATCTCTGGGTAAACAAAAATCAAGGAGTGCCATGAAAAGTAAATTTAGGGTAAGAGTTCTAATTTAGTGAACAACTGTTCATAATAAATGGTTTATCTCCAAAACACATGATAGGGTTGCTAGCTGATGATAGAAACCCCATGATAATTGGGTTCCCTCCTATTTAGGAAGGTAAATGAGTTACTGGAAAAATGGGAATATCTTATTTTTAGAGCACTACGTCATTGGACTTGTCTCAGATCTATTTCCAGAATATGCATACATAAACTAAGATTTTTATTTTTTTTTAATCACCTTTATTTGACAAATACTGATTTTTATCCGGTTTCTCTCCTTTGGATTGAAATGCTGCCTCTTGTGACATGTTTCTCTCACCAGCTTCAGCCTCTCTCCCTAAATTCTACCTATTGCTTCCTCTTCCTGGTATTTTTGGTTTCTTGTGGTATGGTTTTTTGTTTTGTGTTTGGTGTTTTGTTGTGTTTTGTTTTTTTCTTTTCATTCAGGTATTGTCAAGAAACTATATAAGTGATAATAAACATGGACATCCAAAAGGATGTTAACTTCACTTGGAAATGTATTTTAAAAAATTGATTCCTACTAAGCTGTGTATAAAGTAAATGTTACATCCAGTCAGTTTTGGGAAGTCTGAAAACAAACTGCATTTGTAGTGTCCTGTAAGAGTCTAGAGCAACGCTTAGTCTTGCTGTTTATTAAGATTTGCATTTAAATTAGTTGTATTAGCTTTTGCCTAAGAAACTGGTGCATTAAATTAATGAAAAATATTTTAATATCTAGCTTGTAGGTTCCTTTCTTAATAATTTCATACTGGATAGGATCAAATCCCGTTGACTAAATGTAGGCATGCAATGCCAGCTGAGATGCCTGCGGTCGCTAAGTCTGCACAGATTTAAGCTGACTTATAACATGAGCTGTGGGAGATCTGTTATGGGACAGCTCCAGCACCTGGAATGGCACTGTGTGCCAATTTTTAATCAACAGAACCCTATTCTTACTTTCTTTTATTGTGCAGGTGTGTGTCTATTATACTGCTGTTATTTGTTTGAGCAGATCTGGCTTGCGTGTGCTGTCCTTGTTTGGATGCTTATCCTAAGCTGAAGTCTCTGTTACGACATCCCCATTCTGTGATCAAGAGCAACCACAAAAAGCTAATGCTATATATATGCGTGTGTGTGTCAAATTTAATTGCAGTGTAGCTTTAACCTTTATTGAAGTTAATTTCCCATAACCTTATGGAGGATTTTACATTTAAGATTTGCGTAAGACTGGTGGAATTGATGGTGGAGGAAGAAACATTTTTCATAACTTTTTTAATAAGTTCCCTGATTTGAAGTTTCCCAATCCAAAATCACCATTTGCGTGAAAGACTACTTATTTAGAGTACTTAAATAGCATTCTTTAAATTTCAGTAATTTAATTGATTTGGTTATTCTTAAATAATCCATTTTTGTGATAGATTATCTGAGTGAGAACACAGCAGGCAAGTGCTACTATTTTAAAGGACAAGTTTGTTTGCTTGCACCACCTTATTAATCTGAAGAAACAAATTTGTGTTTCTCTATATAATTACATGTAACTGCAGATTGGAAAAATATTTTCATGGTGAAGGTAAGTATAGGCATTTTAAGCATAGGCATTTTTTAATCTTGTTACATAGTTGATTATTCACAAAGAACAGTAAGAGTTACAGTTACACACCAATTTGTCACTTTCCTTGGAGATAACGTCTTCCAGATTTTCTGTTTGTAGTAATACCTTGGTTTTGTTATCTGACCTCAGCAATTCCTGCCTTTAACGTAGTCCAAGCATAGCACAGTCATTTCTTCTATCATGTAATAGATACCCAGAGAAGACTGTTCCATGTGTACCTCATCCTAACAGTGCATATATGTGTGCTTCCTATAGACAGGCTAGTGGGACTCTAAAAGGACTGTTTGGACAACTGTGGTACTACTTGCTGGATTTCAGCTCTTAAACCGTGACAAGTTTCTTTATCTAATGTATGAGCCAGAGACAGGAAAGTAGATGTGTCTTTGTGCATGTGTGTATAAGTTTCAGTAAATATTTGCTATTAACTTAATTAAGCATCACAACAGTACCTTAAATTTCTCTAAAGTGTACAGTATACTACGAGTTCCCTGCATCACGTTCTAGTCTTTCTCTTTAACTGAGTGTAGGAAGCAGCAGTCAATCTTGATGTGTTTCTCTTAAAAATAATAACTTCATCTGCAGATTTGATCACCATGACCTGTCTTCTGCTTTTGCCAGTAATAAGGATATTAGTGTCTTGGTCTATATCACTTAATGATTTAGCTGCTGTAGACGCGTTTATTTTATGTCAAGCAGTTTATATTTTAGCTTCATGTGGTCCTATTTCTTGGTGCAGTTATTCCTTATAATTTGCACTGACAGGAGTTTGATGTAAAAGTAGAATTGGAACAAGCCCTGAAGTTGGAATTTGCTCTGTTTGCTTTTTCCTTTATCCACCAAAGTGGTTATTTTACCAAATGGTATACTCTGGTAGTTTGGCATGATTTGTTTTGAGGAATCCATATGTAATTTTATTTACCAACTTATTTTCCTAAACCACTTAGAAATAAGTTGATCCAGTGTTTGTAACTTATCCAAATCCAAAACAAACAGGTACATTATCAGTTGTCTTGGGACATTATCTGTGAAGTGTACATTTTCTTGAAGTAATTGCTGATGATGTTTTTGCTGCTGGTACATTTCAAAAGTGTGAGTGAATTTCATGAATTTATACAAAAATAAGTGCTTAAATGCAGTTATAGCACTGTTTCACATAACTATTTTTGAACTTTTTTTTTTTTAAGTGTTATGTGGAAAACTTACACTGCAAAAGGAAAATATTACAAGGAATGTTGTCCAAATAGATTTAGTTGCATATTATGAAGGGTGTTTAATAAAGAAAATCATACATGGATCCATTTGAAGAGTTTGGATTGTAGTTAATAACATGTAAGAAATTCCCTGATGTCCTAACTGCTGAAGAATATCAAAAAGTGACAAGAAAGTGAATATGAAAGAAGATATTTGCACTTCATAGACATTGAAAACAAAATATTCAAAACTTAAAAAAAATAAAAAAAATTAAATTGACTTCAACAGTTTTATAAGTGAAATTTTATATTTATATTTCTCAAACTGATATTATCTCCATATTAAGGAAGTTATTACTGTTCAAATTGTATGGACGTCAAGAACATGGCTGTGAAAAGTTTTTGTTTAACACGAGATAAAGAATAATTAAATAGTCGAGGCTTTAGATTGTTAAGTTAGTCTTTTTCCTGCTAAATGAAGTATAGTGTGATGATAATCTTGGAGCAGTGAAAACAAATAATCTGTTGTGCAATTAGCACAATGGGAGTTCCCAATCATTTGTAAGATTTTTCTGTGGCTTTATATAACGTCTTTATCAGCAGTTGTAGAGTTGTTTTTCTTGGATCAAAAAAGTACTTTTTTTTTTTTAGTTTATCTAAATTTCTCTTTTATATGCCCTACTATTTCCCCTTCGATTCCTTCCACACATTTGTTCTGTGTTTTGTTTTGTTTTTATCCTCTAGTTTAAATCTAGGCCATATGCATGAGAACTGGAGTTGGGGAAAAATTACTAGCTTCTTTGCAGATGTACTCCAGTAAATGGATTATTAGGTGCACCTGCTGTAGTCCCAAGACACTTTTGGTTGTTGTTTTTTTTTTCTTTATTTTTGGTCATAATCATTTTGTGTATTGAACTGTTCAGATTTTCTGAAAATCCATACGTAGTCTAGCATCTACTTGGTGAGAGCAATTGGTAAGACCTAGAAATGCTCTGTAAACACTGTTGCACCAGTGAAAAGCTTTGGAATATTGGGTAGGACTTCGGTGTTGTTTCACAACACTAACCATGATACATGATTGAATTTCACTCATATGCTTAATAGGTATTTCTAATAAAATGATTTAAAAAAAATAAAAGCATAAACAAACAAAACCCACGCTATCATTTGGATGTATTGTTTTCCCAAGCTGAATATAGTTATAAAATTGTTATGAATGATTCAGAATGCAAATGAATGTGTGTTTTGTTTTGTTTTGTTTTGAAAAAGAATCATAAGTGGTAAATAGCATAAACTAAGAAACAGCAAATCGTGCCAGACAAACTGAAATATGTTGTTTTGCTGGAAATACTATATTAGCCGATGAAGGTTACAGAGTATGCTCTCTTCGGAGAGAGAACAGCATAATCACATTGAAAACCTGAAAGTAAAATTTTATTGTAGGTTTTCTTTAGGTTTTCCTATATGCAGACTTTCTACAAACAGGGAAGCAGGCTTGATTTAGACATTGTATGTATTTTTAGATGTTCACAAGTGTGAGATCCATGCAGTTCAGAAAAATCTCAACAATTACATGTGTAAAAGGGATCTCCTTGTTTCCTTTTTAAACATGGATAAATTTGTAGGTTTTACATGTATGTCTGCTCCTTTCCATTCTTAAAATAATCTTATTGTAATTGTTCAGTCTGTAAAAGCATATATTTCTTATTTGGTCAGTATGGAGTTGAAAATGTGCACTGGTTGCATGGCTTTCTGTGCCTTTAGAGCATTGCACTACTGGAGCCTTTGTATATAAGCAAACCTAGAAGGTGAGATTTAGAGAGGGCTAGGAAGGCAGAAAATGAGTTAAGAGGAAATGAATGAAACGAGGAGGGGCCCGGAGAGAGGTCTGGAAACAAGTAGAGAATATCAAAAGATAAAAAAAGGTCAGTTTGGGGATTAATGAAGTGTGGAATGGTACATGCCTAGGAACCTCAGTGGGACTTAAGCTTCTTACTTGTAATTTTTATTAATTTTTGCTCCTCTGCAGAAAGTTCGCGGTGAAGTGAAGTTTGCCTCAGTGGAGTCTTTTGAGATTTTCATCTTCTGCAGATAGCAGATTTTTAATGAAGCTTTTATCTTACGGGTGCTTTGAGGTTGAGATGTTGGAAAGGAAACTGGAAGATCAATATAATCACAGGGACAGTGATGAAATGAAATCCATCCCCTCCCCTCCAACTGTACCTTAACTGCACTTCCCATGTTTTTTTAATATGTCCCCAAATACTAAGGTTAACTAAAACTGGATGAGCAGTGCCTCATCAGATGATAATTGATTACAGTAAGGGTAAGATGCGAGAAGGTGCTGCACAAAGAACTAAAGTCATCAGTGTGGCAACCAAGCTTATTTTACTAACAGTAACAATCCCTGACCAAATTTTAGCATTTTCATAGAGTCAAACCCAGCTCATCAGTCCAACATTTTTTCCCCTTTCTCTTATTACATGTTCTTGATTGTAATTTTTAGATCTCAAGCAACAACATAAAGTTTATGGCTTAGCTAGTCACAGAGGAGAAAGCAGCCAACAGACGACCTTCCTCCTTCTTGAATCCTTCCCTTATCTCTGTGCTCAGTAGTCCAGTCTGGAGGGTGAATTGGGGTTCCCAGTGACTGTAGGGTGCAGAGCAATGTCTGACTGTTTCAAGGTATGTCGGGAACGTGGAAGGCAGGGAATCTACCAAAAGGAGAGGGTGCGGCAGAATGAACAGGAGAAGCTCATAATGACCCTGGGCTTCTAGGGAAGGGAACCAAGGGAAGTATTTGCTCAGAATTTTGAGATGTTCTGTTAATTTAAGCCTATTTTAGAAAACAGGCTGTTCCTTTTTGATAGTATCAATTAGATTTTTTTTTTTTGTACTGCTTTCAAAAATTTTAATTCGAAATAACCAAGGATGTTTACTTTCAAGCAGTAACCTTAGGGGCTGAAGAAAAAGGTAGACGTTACATATCTAACACATAATACTAAGCTCCTTAATGAAATAGAAAATGCTAAATTTGACAAGAACTTTCTCAGACAAAAAAAAAAAGAGCAATTTTCTGGAAAGCTGAGATAATTACATGAAGTAAATGGTCTTCACTATGAATAAATGCAAACTATTACATCTCTGGAAAATACAGTTACAAGGTAGGGAGGTGTATGGGAAATAGTTGTAGGAAAAGAAATATGATGCATGGGAAGTTTATACTTGTCTGATATTGAGATCATTAAAGATTGTTCCAGTTAAAAGCAATTTAGTCACTACATCACAAATCAGTTGTTTTCTGTTATATTTCAAGGTGAATGCTTGTGTTTGGTTTAGGAAATATTGGTGTAAAAAATGAAGGAAGAATGTTTGAAAAGGATGGAAGATATAGATCAAACAAATGTTCCAAGTTATACAAATAAAATATTCGTTTTGAAATTTTTAATATATCAAAATGTTATCTGATTTCAGAGTGCACTTAACTGATCTTGAGATCTGTGAGAATTCTTAGGTACTGAGATAGCTTTAGAAATTATCTGTTTATTCAGATGTATAATTTTATCTCCTGGCTCAAAATTTGGATGTGGAGTATCACATATCTTCAGTAAATATTGATAAAAGAAGTTATACTTGTAAAATATATGAAATAGGTGTATGTTTTGGAAGGGTATGAATTTCGAAGAAGGAATTGCTTTTAAGGTGAAGTAACAGAATGAGAGAAGAAATCTTGTATTCCATTATCTAACAAACATCAGTATTAACAAGACTTTTCCTAATTTTTAACATGAGGTCTTGAGAGAAGAGTCTTAAATGTGTATAAGAGGCTGAAGGGAACTGGCTGATCTTAAAGCACTTTTTAAGGATCTGACTTGTTACTCCAAGGTTTGAAATTGTGAGTCTTACTGCAATGTGAAACAGGTTTTGTCTTTCTTTTAGTACTCCTTCTTACAGCTCTGAGTACTTCAACTCGGGAGCTTTTAGCCTAATATAATTAAAAAGGTAACCAAAATTAATGCAAATGCAGCAAATTAGAGATGCAATTTCTGTTTATCTTCTGTCATCAATCACCGGTTCACATACCTTGAAAAGATGGTTTTACTTCTAGAAAAAGTTTATAGCAGAATAGCAATTTGAGCCTTACAATGTTCATATTTCCAGAGAAGGAAGGTCCGGAGAAAAAGAAAACGAAGAAGGATGCTGCAAACAAGAAATCAGCACCAGTTAGCATCCTTTTTGGTTATCCTCTGTCAGAGCGCAAGCAGATGGCACTTCTCATGCAGATGACAGCAAGAGACAACAGTCCAGGTGATCTTACATAGCTAACAGTTTTCTTCTTCCTGTTATGTTATGTTACGTTATTTATTTTATTTTATTTATTTTATTTTATTTTTATTTTTATTATTTTAATTTTGTTTTTATTTTTATGTTTTACCTCTCAGACACTGTTCCATGCACTTATTTAAACTGAAGTGCTACTTTTTTATGGAGTTTAAGTACAGTCTCATTGTCTCTATTTTGGAGTGGGATTTCCATTTAGTAGGAAAATGATTCAACTTAGGATTTAAAGGGGGGCGGACACCCTCTTTAATGAGAGATGCCTTGTTTTTAACTCAGAACTTCAAACTATCCTTGCTCCAGCTGTATTTAAAAAAAAAAATCTTGTTTTTATAAATGTGTTTTTGTTTGTAAAAATGTGTTTTTACAAAATCTGCATTTTTTAAAAGTGAATGTCTGCATTTCTTTAAGAATTTGGTGTTGGTTAGCGGTATCCTGCTGTGTTTAAGTCTGTGTAGAGAAAGGCAAGACAATTTCATGGAAGGAGGAAGTATCTTTTAAAAAAACTGAGACTCAAATAATTTAGGAGGAAAAAGGGATATTGTTTATTCTCTCATACTGGGGAATTCTGCCGCATATATAAAACACTGGAGTCTCTGTCTCATAGGCATGTGTTCCTTGAGAAATTAAACCTAAGGAATCATGAAGGTGAAAATAACCAGACGGATAGTCCGTAGCTCCCTGTCACATGTTATTAAAGCTTCTTTTTTCTTTTTTGAAAATTTTCTGAGGAAACTTTAGTTCACTACCCACCTCCCCACCCCCCAAAGTAATTGTGTTGGCACAGCTAAGGAAGTGCAGGGTACAACACACAGCTGGTAATTCCTTATACTGGCTTTGCACTAAAGATCTAGATGACATATACCAGAGGAAGAGAGAAGCAGGGTAGAGACTAATCTGCATGGTGATGCTTTGTCTTGTTTAAGAACAATTTATGCCAGAGTATGTCAACTTTGTAGAATCATAGAATATCCTGAGTTGGAAGGGACCCTTAAGGATCATCAAGTCCAACTCTTGACACCGCACAGGTCTACCCAAAAGTTCAGACCATGTGACTAAGTGCACAGTCCAATCTCTTCTTAAATTCAGTCAGGCTCGGTGCATTGACCACTTCCCTGGGGAGCCTGTTCCAGTGTGCAACCACTCTCTCTGTGAAGAACTTCCTCCTGATGTCAAGCCTAAACTTCCCCTGCTTCAGCTTAACCCCGTTCCCGCGGGTCCTGTCGCTGGTGTTAATGGAGAAAAGGTCTTCTGCCTCTCGACACCCCCTTACGAGGAAGTTGTAGACTGCGATGAGGTCTCCCCTCAGCCTCCTCTTCTCCAGGCTGAACAGGCCCAGTGCCCTCAGCCGTTCCTCGTACGTCTTCCCCTCCAGGCCTTTCACCATCTTCGTAGCCCTCCTCTGGACACTCTCCAACAGTTTCATGTCCTTTTTATACTGTGGTGCCCAGAACTGCACACAGTACTCGAGGTGAGGTCGCACCAGCGCAGAGTAGAGCGGGATAGAATTTGTCTGTTCTTGAAAACTATTTTAAAAACAGTAAGACTTTGTAAAACACCATTTTTATATTGCAAATAGGTGTTGTGTTAATACACGTGGTGTCAAAAACATCCTTTATTTAATTATTCACTGATAATTATCTTTTCATACAAGCATTATAATGAAGTAAAAAATACTGTTACATAACTTGTAATGACCATTTAAAAATTTATTTTGTAGATTCCAACTTAAATCATTCCTTACAAACACCAGCACAGAAGAAAACTCCAACTTCCTCTTCAAGACAAAAAGACAAAGTTAACAAAAGAAATGAACGAGGGGAAACTCCTTTACATATGGCAGCAATTAGAGGGGATGTTAAACAAGTTAAAGAACTCATCAGTTTAGGTGCAAATGTGAATGTAAAAGATTTTGCAGGTAAGTTGATACATGCTTGCTTAACTGCATGAATTCAAAATTGATACTGAAGTTGTTAACAGGTTTTAGTTCACTTCATGCTATATTTAAATGAAAAAATATAATTTAAAATTAATTGGAGGTTTTCAAATTTCTTTTTTGAAGAAAATGATTGGGCTTAGACACTGGTACATAGTATCTTGTTTCATAGAATCAAATCACAGAGTGGTCTGGGTTGGAAGGGACCTTAAAGACCACTCAGTTCCAACTCCCCTGCCATGGGCAGGGACACCTCCCACTAGATTAGGATACCGAAAGCCCCATCCAGCCTGGCCTTGAGCACCTCCAGGGATGGGGCATCCACAGCTTCTCTGGGCAACCTGTTCTAGTGCCTCACCACGCTCTGAGTGAAAAACTACCTCCTAATGCTAATCTAAATCTTCCCTCTTTGGTTTAAAGCTATTCCCCCTTGTCGCGTCATTTCTGCCTGAGCAAAAAGTTGCTCTCCATCTTTTTTATAGCCTATTTAAAGTATTGAAAGGCTGCAATGAGGTCATCCCAGAGCCTTCTCCAGGCTGAACATCCCCAGCTCTCCCATCCTTTCTTCATAGGAGAGGTGCTCCAGCCCTCTGATCATCCATGTGGCCCTCCTCTAGACCCACTCTACCAGCCCCACATCCTTCTTGTGCTGGGGGCCCCAGCCCTGGACACAGCACTCCAGGTGGGGCCTCACAAGGGCAGAGCAGAGGGACACAGTCACTTCCCTCCCCTGCTGGCAACCCTTCTGGTGATGCAGCCCAGGATGCAGTTGACCTTTTGGGCTGCAAGCACACACTGCTGGCTCTTGTTGAGCTTTTCATCCAGCCTGCTTTCTTGGGGGCAAAGCAGGGAGAGAGGGAGAAGACCTTGACACTGCAAGCGCTGCTCAGCAGTAGCCAAAATGCTGGTGTGTTATCAACACAGTTTACCCACAAATGGAAAACAGAGCACCATATGGGCTGCTATGAAAGAAGTTAATTTTTTAAGTTCTTCCCAGGCAGGCCCAGTACAGATACGTAACCGGTTTCAAAGGTAGATGGAAACATGAGGAGAATGGTTGAGAGCTGGTTCCAGGAATTGATTGAGAGCAAGTCATTAAAGGCTTCATTCAGAACTCTTGACGAGGTGTTTGGGATCAAATGAGATAATTTCCATTGGTAATCCAAAGGGAGAAGCAGAGGTGGCTGAGCTTCAAAATGCTGTGCAAAGGAAGAAGTCAAGAAGAGGGGGGAGGGTTTGAGAAGTGAGTCACGATTGGACAAAAAGTATGAATTTAGGATGCAGTGAAGTTTAGAGAATTAGAGTTTTTTAGCTAAGAAGCTGGCAGAACTAAAGGAGGAGAAAATGAATTAGTAATGGAGGAAGTAACCCTGCTCATGGGGTATCTGCCAGAACAATACTGCTGTGTGAGAACAGGAGTAAAGGAAACAGATGTTGAGAGCAAGCCAGGACTAGTGTTGGCCGGCTGGACGTTTTGATAGGATAGAAAGGCAAAGCAGTAAAACACAGGGAAGAATGAATTATGGAGAAAATTAAGTATGACATTGTTAGGGGGAAGAAGGCAGGGATCAAAGGGCTGGAAGCAGAACAGTGTTTTCACTGTGGGATAGTGGGAAAGGGGCAGATGACAAGAAAATGGAAAGAAGAAGGTGGTAGCCAGGCAGTGCTGGAAGTGAACGATCCACGTGATGATGGGGGAAAAAAAATTAATTTACAAATAATAGGAAGTGTTTTGCTACAGAGTAAGTTAGAAGTTGCTTTTTTGTTTGTTTGTTTTTTGCTGCTGCTGTCAGTTTTATTTTTTAAACAAGTGGAAGGTCAGAAGTTCAGTAAGAGATGAAGATGAGGAATTTCCTTGGTGAAGTATTGGATAAATCATGGGTTTCTGAACAGAGGTACAGGACCATTACTTACAAAATGTGGAGTATAGTGAGTAAACTCTTCCAGACTTGCACCGGTTATTTAAGACAGAAGTTGAATCCTTTTCCAGAGCTAGTCTTTGGAAAGTCATCAAAAATAGCCTGGAAGTTCAGGATAGCTATGAAATGGGATGCATCCAGTTGGGAAGAGGAGATTGAGGTATGGAATGTAGTATGTGTGGGTTTGGATTTCTCATCATCTTCACTTGAGGCTCTGCTGCAAAAAAAATGAGCAGTGAGCTTGAGATTATCAATGTGAAATCAAAATTGCTAAGGACTAATATTCTAAGAAGTATCTGGAGGAAGTTCCCTGCCAGTATTTGTTAACAGCTTGCTATCTTGACTAATCGTTGCTGAATGTTATTAGTGATACTTGGTACATGTTCAATGGCTCTAAATGTACACTTGTTGTGGCAATTTCCATATTTCCCAATAGTATGATTGGTAATCTGTTTCTATATATAATGATGATATTTATATATACCTAATAATGCAATCTAATATGTACTAGTAAAAGAATTTCTAACGTGTTTAGTCTGGGGATTTTATGCCAGGTTTTTAATTTATTTGATTATTGATTTCTCTGTTCAGTGTATTCATGGTAAAATGTATAACTTATTGCTGTGAGGGCCAGGATTGGTAAAGCACATATTCATTAAACGGATGGCATTACTTTCCTCTGAACTGGTATATGAATGTGTATTGAAATGTTTCAAGGCCATAGATTGATAGTACAGTAGAAAACCAAACCAAAAACAAACAAACAAACAAAACTTTGACCTTTCAAACTTACACTGACCACTCTTTCTTACAGGTTGGACACCACTGCATGAAGCTTGCAATGTTGGTTACTATGATGTTGCTAAAGTCCTGATAGCAGCAGGAGCTGACGTGAACACGCAGGGCTTGGATGATGATACTCCACTTCATGATTCTGCTAGCAGTGGGCATAGAAATGTGAGTGTGCTGTGAGAGCAGGGGAAGTATCTAAGTTGTTTGAAATACTCAGTCATTACAACAAATCCTAACTGTCCAGATCGGTCTCGCAGGGTTTTATAATGCTGCTTCTGCTGTTCTAGGGACATCTTATTTTTTTTGTTTTGCTTTGTTACATCTTGCTCTTCACTGTAATGCTATTGCAAGATGCCTTGTGCTAGCATCTGCTTCTTAAATATTTAAAATTTCACATTATTTTAAATAAATACACATTTTAATGAACTTTAAGACTTGTACTGTATAGAATTCTCAATAAGAAAATGTCTCCAAACTCTCTCTCTCTCATATAATACTTATATTTTATGTTTATTACAGAATATGTAATCAGTATTGTACAGTATAATAATTGACATTGTCTATTGTGATGTTATTACATGAATAATTGTGTTATTCATATACACAATAATCTGTGAAATTTCCGCTAAGTGTTTAGTAATGGTTTCTTACGGGTATCAAAACGGAAGTGGTCTTTAGGTGGAGTGCTCATAGAATTGTAGTAGAGGTTTGGAGAACAGAATGTCTTGCTTATCTGGTCTTGGTATATATATCTGTGACCATCTCAGTAGCATGTATCAGAAAAGTTTGAAGTTTCTTGTGAACATGTCACTGTCTGCTGGATTTCCCCATTCTTAGCATGCAGGACAACAAAAAAAAAGTAACTGATACTGGATACTGTCATGAAAATGCAGTGGCCATGTTATCGTTGCCTTTTAACACTTCTGGCCATGATGACAGACATTGGTGATTTCACAGTATGGTAACGGTTGGGTATGGGGAGTAGTTTGTTCCTCCAGTGACACTTAGATCTCCAACAGGGCTTTTCTGAAATGCCATGCAAACCAATAATACTGCTGCTTGAGAAACCTTTCCTGTTTGTTAAATAGTTAAATGCTATAAAACTTGGAGCAAGGAGGTGAACTGAGTGCACAGGATTAGAGAGCTTGGTAGGTGAGGAACCAGCTAAATGGTACAAATTGATGCCAGAACAGTGAGAAAGATGTCAGTGTTGCTGTTCTTTATGATGATATTGTATCTGTGTGATCATGGACAACTTTCTTTAGTCTTCCCCATAAGCTCTTTTAACAAGCATATTACATACTTGGATTTTACATTTTAGTTGTTGAAGTCTTGCTTTGTGGTATCAACTTCAGAGACAGGTGTTTGGAATTATGTGGCACATTATCTGCCTTTTCTGTCCAATGGAAGGTTTTTATACTGGTAAATTAATGTTGTAGAAAACCTCAACGTTCTTCTATTTAATGCTGTAGATTGTGAAGTTGTTGCTTCGACATGGTGGAAATCCATTTCAAGCCAATAAGCATGGGGAGAGACCTGTTGATGTCGCTGAAACTGAAGAGTTGGAAATGCTATTGAAAAGAGAAGTGCCTATCTCTGATGATGAGGACAGCTGCTCAGGTAAAAGTAGGCATTTCACTGCATAATTAAAGTGCATCAATTCATCTGAAATTAGGTGTTTTTAATCTTTTGCATAGTGTTAGCTAGGAAGAATTGCTGTAAGTAGCAAGTGCAATTTTTAAGGTTGTTTTCTACTTTAAGTTTTAGAAGTGATTTTCAAATTTTTCTGTTGAATTGATTTTTCCTTTTTTTTTTGTCTTTATTTCCATCTCTCTTCATTAATCCCTTTCCACCATCCAAATCAAGCTTACCTCAGAGTGGTGGTTATATCAGAGAAAAAATACAGAGGAAAATACCATATTTACTAGAATACAAGGAGGTTCCTGAGAGGTCTCCTTGGGGAAAAATATCCCCCGAAGTCACTTCATATCCTCAGTGGAAGAATTGCGATCTAACAGATATATATAAGGAGAAGGAAGAAAGAAGCAGCAACTGCTTTATAGGAAAAGGGTAAAGGGAAGGCACAAACAATCTGCAAAGAGTGATTAGAGCTAAAGACAGGAGGAGGATGACACGTACATATTAGAGATGGGGAGGGAGGAATAAAAAATTGATAGCGTGAACTAGCAATATATTCTGGATGCTGAAGATAATGCAGAAAATAATGGTGACTTCAAGGTTCTATTTTATTGGCACTGTGTAAAATACAAAGCAGCTGAGAAGCTTCCTAGCAAGATACACTTCTTAACCATTGCTTACTGGCAGTTGGTTCACAGCGGATGCTACGGGAAATGAGGGGGAATTTTGCAGCAGAATGTATTTTTTACTTCTTTCAAAATTCTAATGCATTGAAACTGCTTCATTATTTCCTTATGCTATTATTTCAAACTCCTTTGTTGCTTCTTATTTGGTATGTGAATTCTCTAGAGATAGTACTAAATGTCACTGAATTCAATTCTTTTAAAAAAACAAATGGATAGATTCATCTGGAGAGGCTTGGCTTGGGACCTTATCTAGAAGGAGCAATACATCCAGAAAGATTTCTAAAAGATTTTTGATTTCTAAATTTTCATTTGATCAGTTAATGATAACACTGCATATGTTGTGTAAAATTTAACTTGAGGAACAGTTGAGAGATTTGTGCTCCTGACTTGCAAGTCAGGATGCCCAGGACATCATACTTGCTTCACACTGTGCACTCATACAGCAGAGATCAGTTGTAGAGAATTATAGCAGAGCCTACTTTAGGCTGTCTGCATCACGTGTTTAAAGATTCATAAGGTAATTTCTTTACACCAGCAGTTCTTTGTCTTTTAAGAATTAAACTCATCAACTGTTGAAACAAGGTACTTTGACTGAAATAGTTCATGTGGAGGAGAACGTGGTTTAGTTGTTAGAGAGCATGAGAGTTGATGAATTCCTCTGGGAATGAATCATCACTGAAGGATGCCCTTGAGAAAAAGGTTTTGCAGGCACTGCACATAATAGATGAGGTTTGCTAAATTTAAAGAGTTGCTTGTATTAGATTGGGATATGAACGGTAATCAATGTCTTTATGTACCTGGGTGACACCTGTGAAGTGTGAGGGTTTCTCTCGATTTTGCTTGAAAAGCCTAATTCTAGTAAGAAAGTGTATTATGTGTTTCGAGGGTGTTTTCTTCTTTCAGTTATTTAGCACTATGACAGATGTCTTGTTTCGTTACCCTTTTGTTCATATGGTAGACCTCTTAGGGATACAAATGGAGACTAAAATAAGATTAATGCTTTTATAAAATGTACTGAAACTCATGAATTAATGGTCTGACATGACTTCTGTTGCTAAAAATTCTGTATGTCTATCACTCTTTCTTCAATCTTTATTTTCATATTTACTTGGAAAAATTCATAATCTTATAGAAAAAAACACTAAGAATCTTGCTTCATACAAAAAAGTTAATGGATTTAAGAGCATGTTTTAAGATATTTGAGCATATTGGTAGGAACTATGTGATTTAAAATCTTGGTATGTTTTGGTTTGGTTTCTGTGAGGATCAATTATTATGTGACAAGAACAGCAGCAATGGTGATCACTTTTTTGAATAGACCATGTTCCTAATGATATTCTTTTTATATATTTTTCTGTAAAATTTCCATTTTTGTCCTGAACTGAAGTAGAAAAATGTCCAATTAACATTCAACTAATTTCTGTTTTTCTCCATCTAGAATCTGAAGAAGCTCCATCTGTAAATCTTTCCAGTGTAGAGGGGAACGTTGATTCAGAAGTAGAGAAAGACTCTGTAGCCAACGAAAACAAACAAACGGTCCCTAGTAAGGCACCACTTCCATCTGCTCATGATGAGTATGAGTTTAAAGATGATGATGAAGATGAAATGAAAAAAATGATTGATGACAGACATATTCTTAGAAAAGACGTAAGGAAAGAGGATGAGCCTGAAGTTGAAAAGAACAGCTTATTTGTGAAACAGGAAAAGGTTGTCATTTCAAAATCACTTAAAAACAAGAAACAGAAACCATCTAGAGTTTTGTATTCAAGTTCTGAAAGTTCAGATGAAGAAATACTTCAGGACAAGAAGATAGTCTCTCCTTGCTCTATTTCAGAGACATCAAATTCTGATGTAAGAGTGAAGAAGGAATATATTGTTACAAATGAACACAAACAAAAAGGCAAAGTTAAAAGGAAAGTAAAAAATCAGAGTAAAAATAAAGAGAATCAAGAACTAAAGCAAGAAAAAGAAAATGCTAGAGTAACAAATATAGCTGCTTCTGTTTTAGATTCTTTAGATAAAACTAGAGAGGAAGAAACTTTTAAGAAGTCTTTCAGCCCAAAAGAAGATTCTTCTTTACACCTATTTCACATTACTGCCGGCAAATCTCCTAAGCATCCCTGTGGATTAAGTGAAAAGCAAGCAACAGCATTAAAGCAAGAAAACACCAAAACTTGCTTATCACCAGGAGGCTCTGAAATAACATTGCAATCCGAATTAGTTCGGTATGATCACAACACTGATTCTGACTATCTGGTAGAAAGTTCTAGTGGCAAATCTTGCAAGCATAAAGAAAAAAGCAAGCATCATCAGAAAGATTTTCAGTTAGAATTTGGTGAAAAATCTAGTCCTAAAATTAAAGATGAAGATAATAGCCCAACGTTTGAGAACTCAGAGTATACCCTGAGAAAGATTGACAAGGAAGGTAAAGCATTTAAAAAGCATAAATTAAAGCACAAAGAAAGAGAAAAGGACAAGCACAAGAAGGAGCAGGATGGGGAAAAGGAAAAACATAAACACAAAGATAAAGAAGTCCAAAGAAGTATTGAGTTTGACAGAGAATTTTGGAAAGAGAACTTTTTCAAAAGTGATGAAACTGATGATATGTTGTTAAATATAGAACATGAATCTCTTTCTTCAGACAGAAAATCAAAGTTGGAAAAAGCTGTGTCAAAAGAAGACAAGGTAGTTAAGGAGAGACAGTTCCACAAGGAGAGAAATGCTAGAGAAGAAAGAGAGAAAGAGAAGAGCAAAAAGGAAAATGAGAGGTTTCTTAAGGATGAAAAAATAAAAGATACAAAAGAAGAAAAGGAAATTACGCTTGCAGATAAAGAAATGGAATTGTTCTGCCTTAGTGTTAAAGATGAGGTGATCAGCATGCACTTAATAGAAAAGGAAACAGATAGTGAAAAGCAAGAAAAGAATTTAAAAGAAAATAAAGAAAGGACTGAAAAGCGAACCTCAGCCAAAGAAAAAGATGCTGACAAGATGGAAAGAAAAAATGCAGAAAAAGAGAAAAAAGTAAAACATGAATACAAGACAGAGAAAGCAGAAGTAAATGAAACTGTAGAGAAAGGAAAGGAAAAGCCCAATTTCCAGCAAGCAGAAAGATGCCATAAGGAAAACGATAAAATTAAAAGCACAGCTACTCTTAAAAAAACTGATGACAAAGAAAAAAATAAAGAAAAGGCTGATAAGAAGCACGACAAAGAAAAAGTTGATAAAGAAAAACATTTGGCTGACAGCAAAGAAAAACACTGCATTGAAAGAAAAGTGAAACAGTCTGAAAAAGAATCTGAATATACTAAGTCAGAAAAAAATAGAACTAAAGACAAAGAAAAGGAATCTGAAAAAAAAGACAAATCCAAAGACAAAGAGAGCTCAGCAGTGGCAAACTCAAAACACATGCAAGAAGAAAGAAGATGTAGTATTACAGAAGGTAACAAAACAACGCATGACAAATTGTCGTCTTTGAAAGAAAAACCAAAAGACGATTTGTTGAAAACTCCAGACGGTAGAGAGAAGGATAAAAAAGATAAAGACATAGACAGATACAAAGAGAGAGACAAACATAAAGATAAACTGCATCAAAGTGGTTTACATAAGCTAAAACTTGAACATGAGAAACTTAAGCCTAAACCATCTCCTGCACCAAAGGATGCTCGGCCTAAAGAGAAAAGATTAGTCAATGATGATTTAATGCAGACTAGTTTTGAAAGAATGCTTAGCCTTAAAGATCTGGAAATAGAGCAGTGGCATAGAAAACACAAAGAAAAAATAAAACAGAAAGAGAAGGAGCGCTTAAGAAACCGCACTTGTTTAGAACTCAACAAGATGAAAGAAAAACCCAAACAGTCATTAGCTGAAGTGAAAAGCAAAGAACTGATTCGTTCGAAAAGCTCAGAGCTGCCAGATGTTTGCACGAAGGAAAAACAGCAGAAAGACGCTACAAGTAGTAGGTCCCAGTCAGTAGATACAAGAAATGTAAATGTCATAAGGCCTTTGTTGGTTTTAGATAATTTAAATAAATCCCCCAAATCAGAAAGTGAGAAGATGGGCCTGAGCTCCAAATCGGTGTCCATGGTTTCAGTTGCGAGCTCTGAGGATTCTTGCCATACCACAGTAACTACGCCAAGGCCTGTAATTGAATATGATTCAGATGTCATGCTAGAAGGTTCTGAATCCCAAACGCCTTTTTCACAATCGCCATTTTTGGCAAGTGCCAAATCACCAGCCCTTCTTGAAAGAGAGGCCGATGGCATTACCGAGTTGCCAGATCGGATTAAGCCGCCTTTCGCAAACAGGCTTCCACCAGCATACATTAGATCGGCATCTGTTGAAGACGTCAAACTGGTTTTAAATGAGTGTAGACCTGTCGTAGAGGTTCGAAGATGCAGCATGCCCGCTGCTGTGCCTGAACACAACAGACAGCCTCGAATATCAGAAGAAAATAACCAGAACCCTCAACTGTCGATTCAGACATACGCGAGCACTTCTCCTAAACCAGAACTACCATGTAGCGTGCCCGAGAGAGACTTTCAGTGCAGTATGTCTGGTTTGCAGTCATCCCCAGCTGGAACTGGTAGCAACAAGCAGGTAACAGTGGGTACGACTACCATTAAAAATGTTGTTCAGATGAGCCCTTCAGAAGAACGCAATACGCATTTAGAGCCATGTAGTCAAAGTGGTGTGACTCAGCCAGCCAAACCGTGGGATGTGCCTTTTGACAGACTTAATTCATTAAACAGTGAGTATAACAGCTCAGGTTACAGTGTATCAGAGCAAGATACTAATAATGTTATAGCAGTGCACAGTTCTGAAAACAGGACTTTAAAAGAACAAAAAGTATCTGAATTTTTGCCTCAGCATGCTGAAAGCAAGGGAAATTCCGGTTCTCAAGAATCTGCATCATTTTTTCCTTCACAGTCGCCTTGTTCTTTACCTATTCAGCCACTCCCAGATATGTCTAAACACATTTCTTTACCAGGCAATAGCAGTCAAGATTCATTATTTGTACAACAACAAAGTGTAGTTCAAGCTGCATCTTCTGCTTTGAGTACAGATGCTAGTAGTACCAGAGAGATGGAAAACAGTTTCTTCCCCTCAAACAGTAAGAAGCCTGATGCACCTATTGCTGTATATTCTGAGAGCTCTGTGAAAGCTACTTCACAGAGCTGTGAAAGGGTGAATGATTTACCTGTGGTATTGTTAGAAAAAGATAGTCCTGAATGTGATGGCAGTTCACAGTTAAATGTAAATTTGTATGCATTCAATAAAGTTGTTTGCAAGAATGCTCAGATTGAAGCAGATGGTAACACAGCAGATATTGCAGACATTAGAAATGAAAAAGGACAGCAAGAAAATTTGGTTTCAGTACATGTTGTTAATAATAAAGCTGACACTGATCTCTGTGAACTAAGTTCAGGAATGTCAGGAATTGGGAACGAATCAGCTAATAAAAAACCCTGTGCTGAAGACAGAGACGATGTGTTGACAGATGATCCACCACAGTACCCTTTATCCAACTTGGAAAATAGTTCACAACAGATTATACAGGAAGAGGTGCATAAATACAGCCAAATAGTTAAACTAGAGGAAGAAATTGCTGAGGATCAGAAGGTGGAACAGCAAGAAGTACCTCAAAGAATCACGAGAAACAGAGCAAATTTGCTTGCAAACCAGGGCAAGCAGAATCCTGTCAGCTGCATGCAGACATTAGAAAAGGAGACTGACTCATCAGCATCTCTGAAAGGAAGGATTAGATTAACTGAAGATGAAGATGCTCAGGTACATCATCCACGTAAAAGAAAGGTGTCTCGTGTGCCTCAGCCTGTGCAAGTGAACCCTTCTTTACTGCAAGCTAAAGAGAAAACCCAGCAGTCGCTGGCAGCTATTGTTGATTCTTTGAAACTCGAAGAGATTCAGCCATACAGTTCCGAGAGAGCAAATCCGTATTTTGAGTACTTGCACATAAGGAAGAAGATAGAAGAGAAGCGTAAATTACTGTGCAGTGTTATTCCTCAGGCACCTCAATATTATGATGAATATGTGACCTTCAATGGATCGTATCTACTGGATGGCAATCCCTTGAGCAAGATATGCATTCCAACTGTAAGTAACGTGGTCTTTAATTATGCAGTACAAGGAAAGGCATGTTTTGGTTTTATTTTTGTAACTTGCATGTATTTCCTAACTCGCTTCTGAATACTTGTGCTGCAAATAAGGTTGAAATATGTCAAATTAACATTGACTAGTAATGTCGTATTTAAAAGCCCCATTTGGTGGAAATACAAACAGTAGAGTCAAAGTCATTACAATACAAACCATCATGCATGAAATCTGTGAGAGGCAAACAAATATATTTCAAAGTGTTTATTCCTGTAGAAGCTACCATTTCAAAAGTAAGCTGTAAGGTCAGTTGTTTAGAGCTTCTCCAAATTTCTGCTGGAAATAATCTGGTTAAAAATTATTCAGTTCTAAGCTCTCCGTGGCTCTGGCATGGGCATATTCCTTATGACAGCAGAGAAGACGCTTATAATTTGGGACTCCTGTGTGCAAGGCAGCACAGAATTGCCTGCACAGAAGTGCAGTTAATATCTCTGTTTGCTGGGGAGGTGCCCCTCAACGTATCTGACAATAACCTGGAACTGCTGGGCTCTACTTTGAAGTCAGCATAATCCTGGTAGCGTTCGACTCAAACTTCCTTTCCTTGCTCCTCAGCAGACCTGATACTGCATGTAGGTGGGGGAAGAGGAAGGACCCAGCACATTGTGCATTGAGGGTTTTTTGCTAGCCGCCTTCGAGTATTGTTACTCCTGGGAGTAGAAGGAAGTTTTCTAGTTTTCCATCTGTTATCTGATGCTCTTTAACTGACTGTGACTACACTTAAACTTGTCTAGTTCTGAGGTAAAGCATACTAGCTTAAACCCATTTGAATGGTTTAAGCTGACAGACACACTTAAGAGCTGAAATAGGCTGAGACCGTGTGTTTGATTTCCCAGAATAGTTGTTTGGCTGACGTACAGTAGCTTGATAATGTCAGAATTCAGTAGGATTTGGTTGTATGCCCATTACTGTGTCAAGTTAAGGAGAAATCTGAGTTTAGGGGCAATGAGGAGACTATCCTAATCCTCTAATGGCAAAAATGCCTGAGCTTCTTTGTAGATCTGAAAGCTCGTGTGCACAGTCTAAGCATCCAGTCTTCAGTCTCTATTTCTGAATAGCATAGTGTTACTATGTTGGTTCGGTGAAGATAACTTGCTCCTACTTGAGATGCTGTAGAGCTTTCTCCAATTGAGTTGAAGATTATTTCTGATCAAGCAATGAACACAAATTTCATACATAAAAGTACATTTTAAAGCTTGTGCTTCATTCCAGAGGTAGTCATAATCTCCATGTAAGTTGTCTCCTCTAATTTTGTCCACTGTGCCCTCCATCTTCCTGAGAGAGGATGTATGTACATACTCTAACCTTGAGTTCTGTCTCATCTGATGGTGACCAGAGTTCTTTGAAATTAGGAAGCTCATTATAATCTGAGGGAGTATGTGGGACCATTTTACTTGGTCTGTAACAAACTAGAATGTATTATGAGTTTTGTTACAACGTACCAGACCGTCCTTGGCCTAGAAAACTTTCTAAGTAGCTGTTGCAGCCACAGGAGTATATCTTTATCACCAGAGGCAAAGATTTATTTTTTATAGCATGTACTTGACTAGCAGCTGCTGTTTCCAAGCTACAACTGAGTGTTCTGGCACCAAACTTCAGTGCTTAATTTGGGATAATTGGAAAGTGAAGAAATGCAGCTTACATTTTTCCATGATCCATCTTCTACCTGGGCAACGGAGCTCATTTCCCTGTCATAAATGGCACTAGAAGAAAGGGAGGGTGATGACTTGGTATTTAGAACAACCTCGTTCTTCCCTTCCTGTCTCTTGATGTGTCTAATAGGGATTCTGTAGTTCATGAGGATAAATTTAAGTGGTTGTGTAGCCCAATTTCTCGGGTAAGTTATGTCCAGTAAATATCAGAGGTGAACACATGCTCCCCATTCTCATGGCTTTTAATTAATTTTAAAAGGTTTTTTCTTTTTAACAGGTTGACAAAAATGTGATTTGTATACTTGAAGGATTGCAGTTAGTGATTTTTATCTGGTTTAGATTTCTGGGCTGTTTCTTCCCTTCAGGCATTAAGAATGGGTGAAGCTTTTTACTTCCTATTGTTAGGAACATAAGGAAAAAATGCTGAAGATATTTTAAGCATTTTCATTTTGTTTCATCATCTAAATGCTTCTTTTGTTTAATTACTGTCACTTGTAGAAATAGACATTTTGGATTAAAACGTCTTTTTATTTGGCCCCAGAACTGGACCCCACACCCCAGTGTGGCCTAATGCAGCCCAGGACACCCCTGGCCTTCTTAGCAGCAAGCTCACACTCAACTTGGTGTCTACCAGGACTCCCAGGTCCTTTTTGGTCAGGCTGCTTCCCAGCTGGGTGCCCCAGCACGTGCTGGTGCCTGGGGTTGTTCCTCCCCAGGTGCAGACTTGGCTCTTCCCCTTCTTGATCCTCATGAGGTTTCTGCCAGCCCATTTCTCCAGCCTGTCCAGGTCCCTCTGGATGGCAGCACAACCCTCTGGTGTATCAGCCACTCCTCCCAGTTTGGAGTCATCTGCACATGTTATTATGCATTATTATATGCATAATGTAACGTGCAACAGTAAAATGACCCTTCTGTTGGGATTGTTTCTATATTTTTCCTTAGGTGATTCTCTGTTAACCTCATTCCTGCTTCATACATAGACTACAGGAAGGCAGATATTTGTTCTTAAAGCATTCCTGTATTTTAGGTATCACTGTGTGAATGTCTGCATGAAGACAACATATTTAGCTCTGAGACTCGGAGCAGTTTGTGTAACGCACTGTTCTCTGTGTTGGAATTTTAATGACACAGTGCTGTGTATCTTGATGAACTTCAAACATCCTGTAGGTGGGAAGCACGAGATGGTGTGTTCAAGTTTGATTTCCACTACCTTGTTTATATACTGCAATTTATGACCCATATCACCTAAGGCTGTAATGATAGTCACATGTGAATTGTGGCTTCCCTCTTAGCAGTGCAAATGTGAAGTATAAGAGAGGTGATATCGGGTTAGTTCAAAACAGAAGGAAACAAATCTGAATCTTCTAAGACTTAATTTAAATTGTACTTAGCTATGTTGCCCTACGTCAGTGTGTTTACTGGGGTTTAGTCACCTTTATCTCTACTGCCTCCTGAGAAGAGGTGCCAAGGTTATTCATTTCCAGCTTTCCCTGGCTATCTAGCAGATACGTTTCTAATAAAAGGGATTCTGTCCAGTCTCCCTGGCATTGCTGTAGAAACTTAAGTGGTAAAGCTAATTTTAGTGATGTTACCAGAAGCTTGCTTCCTAAATAAATGAGATGGAACAGCAACAGAGCAGGCCAGTTGGCAAGGAGAGATAGAGATGGAGAGGGCTGTATGCAAATAATCTTGGAAATTTTGTGTTTGTGTTAATCTGCTAGCTGAAGTGCTGCTCTTTCTTGCAGCAGCCACAAATGAGAACTGAAGGTTTACAGAATTAATCCTGTGGCAGTCGTTAAGAAGGACGCAAAGCATGCAAGAAACTTTTGTAATTTATTGTAATGTGTTGCAGGTATGTCTCGATCCCTAGCTGCTACCAAACAAAACCCTTCAGGTGTCTGCCTGCTAGTGCTGTGGAGCAAAGAGGTGAAGGGCTGGATGCTGCCCAGATTCCTTTGGTAGCTGCTCAGCCTAGGATTAGAGAGCGTGTGAGAAGGCAGGGGTCGTCTGTCCACCGGTGGTCTGTGTGGAGCCTGGGCCCCTTAAGAAACTGGTCTGATAATTTACTTGGGTTATACAAGAAACTGAGGTCACTTTTTCCTTGTGGCATCCTGTTTCATGCTCTCTTCTTGCAGTGCCAACATATGTGGTCATCTTTTCCCTGCACACTTCTTGTTGTCTTCTTACTGGCGGCCTCTCTGAGCAGAGGATCAGTGAGACTCCTCTGGCTGTCCTCAGGTTCCCTTGAAACCTTTTACTTCAGTTTCCTTTGAGGCCAGAAAGTTCATTTCCTCTGTCCAAATCCGGCGTCAGTTCACAATCTGGGATTTCCAGTAGGTGGTGTCAGACTACTGGAATTCAGATTGCAGAATCTGGGGATCTGAGGCTTTCTTCCAGTCTTTCCAAAAAGAGAGGGGGAGAAATTATTTGGAGGGATTACAGGAAACAAATTCAGTCCTGTACTGAGCTTTATGTTTTAGAAGACAAGGTAAGGCTTACTGGAATCAAGTGTTTAAAAATTTATCCAGAGGCTGTAGTAATCTCTGGGATCATAAATATCTCTTGTTGCTTTTCATACTGCTCGTAGTGTTTGCACAGAGTTGCTGAGAGTTTGCAGGGAGTGTTTGGGGTTCAACCTTCATTGGAAGGCCACAATTATTGCAATTCAGAAGCCCTCAGCCTGGTGGTACGGTTCTTCTAGCATGGTTGGATCTCTAGAATGTACATTTATGTCCTACAAGGAAATGAAATTTCAATTTTGAAACAGAGTCAAGGCATGGTTAATCAACATCCTGAGTTGCAAAAGAAATCTGTCAGCAAGAGCTAAACTTCAGTGCCTTTTGATTTACGGTTTTAGGGTGCCACCTGCTGCTTGAAATGACTTTATTGTGCCATGGGTCTTAGTGAGATTGGCTACTGAAAACTTGCTAGCTACTAGGTGGCATGAAACTTCCATTTTCTTTTTTAAATACTGGTTAGAAAATACAGATGTGGCCAATCAGTAATCTAATAAAACAGTTCTGGGATCTGAAAAACACTTTTATTAAAAGCTGTTGTGCAATAGCAGCTTCACAGAGGTGAGAGTTTTCTTTGATATTTAAATAAAGTGCATACAAGTTCACTGTCTAAATAATCCAGTCCTTTCCAGTTATTTTCTACCGTGTTGCAAAATTACATGGTATGTGAATTTAAAAGAAAAACATTTGTTAGTACAATTTTAAATTGTTCAGCTGATACGGATGCTTGTCAACTCTGACATTTTTGTTTCTGGATAAATTAGCTGCATCAAATCAACATTTATTGACGGATTGTTTATTTTGCTTGTGCTGTATGCTTTTCTATTAACAAAGGCACTGAGCTTTCTGAGAGATCTTTGCAAGATATGGTATAGTTAGGAGCATCTTGTCTTATTTTACTGAAAAAATAAGGCAGCAATGTTATAGCATGCCATAAATACAAAGTTTCCAGGCAAATCTAGACTGCAAAATACCTCATGCTGAACTCAAACATAATGAAATCCACTATAACTAAGACAGATGAGTGCCATAGGTGTGGTTTTTTGTGTGTGTGCATGTGTTTTGTTTTGTTCTTGTGTTTGTTTTTGTTTTTTTTTAACACTGATGACTTGCATAATAAAATAGCACGTGCCATAAACTCAGTGTTTTGAGAGCTGGAGAGTTTTCATTAAGAGAGAAGTGAAGTGTGTGTCGTTCAGAGGTTTGAAACATGGAGTTGCATCTAATTTTATACTACATAATGATGTGAAGAATACACCACAGTTAGTTAACCAATGTGTTCTTTAATTCCAAAAACCTTGGTTAACTTCCAGCTGGAAGAAGAATTGTCCTGAAATAATCTTCCAAACAATAAATCACTTTGTTACTGGAGAGTATAGAAGCAAGATTGACACTCATAATACAACGTGTAAAGTAACTAGTAACATCCATGTTTTCATGATGCATTTCTTATTTTTTGACAGTTGAGGGATCTGTATTGTATTTGTATCTGTATTTGTATCTGTATTTTTTTCAGAATGAATAATGGTACTTTAAAAAGTCTTTAAAATTGAAAGAAAGTTGTATGTTGCATATCTTCTAATGTACAAGTCTTTTAAAGAAAGGTTACATGCTTCCAATGGTAGGTTAAAAGCATTCAGTGGTTTGAAATGCCATTTCAGGCAGGTTCATTAACTTCATAGTAAAGAAACCTTAAAACCTTTTATTGCAAATGGATTGATGTCATATAATTAATGGCATGTACAAAATTCATTTTCCCTTTAAAAAAAATAACCTTGTGCTTTTTTAGTAAATGCTCAAGTTGCTCAAGGCAATGTTGAACATACATTAAATATATATTCACTCTACTATTTATGAAACTTTTTCCATAGATTACACCACCTCCCTCGCTATCGGACCCTCTTAAGGAACTGTTTAAACAACAGGAGGTTGTAAGGATGAAGCTACGCTTACAGCACAGTATCGAAAGGGTAAGAATAAAGCAGTTGTTTTTTTTATTTCCCAACCTCAGGGTTTTTCTTTTCAATAGATACACGGTTTTGCTCAATTTAACAGTGTTTTAGAACTAAACTGCCTTCTAACCAAATCTGTGAATTGGAGCAACTTGTAAATATATAAATAAGTAAAACTAGTTCAGTGTTATGTGATAGTTTGGACAACTGTTACCAGAATACTCAAGTCAGTAAGACAGCAGCTTTTTCCTCTTTACTGCTCTAAGATGTGTCTCGGATTTTTCCCTAGGGGAAGCAGGTAGGGGGAAGAAGTAGAGTAGCCTCCAGTTGTGAAGGCTAATAATCGTTGTAGACTTCAGAACTTAGTTAAAAGAATTTAAACAACAGTAAATTCTGTATTGGTAGAAGACACGTAGTTAGAATCACAGAATGGTTTGGGTTGGAAGGGACCTTAAAGATCACCCATTTCCAACCCCGCAGCCATGGGCAGGGACACCTCCCACCAGACCAGGTTGCCCAAAGCCCCATCCAGCCTGGCCTTGAGCACCTCCAGGGATGGGGCACCCACAGCTTCACTGCGCAGCCTGTGCCAGTGCCTCACCGCCCTCTGGGTGATGAACTTCTTCCAAATACGTAATCTAAAGTTGCCCTCTTTTAGTTTAAAGCCTTTCCCCCTTGGCCTTTCACTGCACTCCCTGACAGAGCCTCCCCAGCTCTTCTATAGGCCTGAGAGGTACTGGAAGGCCTATAGAAGGCCTCTAGGTATTCATAGACCTATGAGGTCTCCCTGGAGCCATCTCTTCTCCAGGCCAAACAACCCCAACTCCCTTAGCTTCTCTTCGTAGGAGAGGTGCTCCAGTCCCCTGGAGGTGGAGCAATTCTCCTAAGTTCTGACTAAAACACCGTTTGCAATATTCTGCTTCCATTAACTGTCTAAAATTATTTTAGAACACCATGTGTAGGCTTCGCTGAATTTGAACACAGAAATTGAGACAATATCCCTAGTTTAAGAATATTCTTTGTGTTGTCCAGGCAGCCTAGGCTTAGGTGTCTGGTCACACTGCTTGTGGACACAGGCAGGGCCCCTTTTTCATGCGGACTGCGTGTTAAGGGTTTCCACACAGTTTACACAAGCAGCTAGCTCATTAAAACACAATGTAGGGTTTTTTGATTATGTTAATTTTAATGTGGATTACCAAACCAGTCGAGGGAGGAGGTTCTACTTGAATTTGGTATTACAGTGTAAAGCTAGGTAAAAATTAACAAGCACAAAGAATGTAAATATGGTTCAAGTTCTGTATTCACTTCTGAAAGAAAATACTTGTGACCAAATGAAGGAAAGGTGCTGTTTTATGGGCTTATTTTTTTTTTCATCCACTGTGTTTTATTTTGATAAAAAATTAGAGCCATTATGTTGCAGAGCAGTAAATTCCTTTATTATGTCTTAAATACGAAATAATTTATTTTGCTCAAATAAACTGCTCTTCAGATAGAATCCACTTTTATACAACTGTATGTCAAGATAGGCTGAGGCACATTCTTTCCTGAACTGAGACAAGAAACTTTGTCTAGCTATGAACTTAGGGAGTTCTGCATGTTATTTTATTAATTAAAAACAACAAAATAAAAAATCTGCAAAGGATATTGCTTGGCCTTGGTACCTGACCTGACTTTGTGTAAAATTCTTCGTACAGTTGAGATTTGCAAACCTATATCCCAGTCCTGTGCCTCAGCCTTTCATCCTTCACCTTCATCAACTACAGCTTGCTTCATCAGCACTGAGTGGAAAATACGGGCATAGCATTCACCCAGCAGTGGGGGAGGAGGGAATGTTTCCAGTTCTGAGATGCAGGGAACATTCTTTGCATCAATAAACTGGAATTTTGGAGTTGATTGGATAAACAGCTACCCCTTTCCCTGTCAGTCCACCTCTCACACCTCTCAGAATCATAAGCCTTAAAAGAGAAATGTTTAAATGCATAGATGTGTTTATGAATCAAACTGAAATACTTAATTTATATCAAATGCATCACCATTTATATCCTTTTTATCCATGTATTTATATCCTTTCGCATTTTTCAATTAGGAAAAGCTTATTGTTTCTAATGAGCAAGAAGTTCTACGCGTTCATTATCGAGCAGCAAGAACTCTGGCTAATCAAACACTACCATTCAGTGCCTGCACTGTTCTGCTGGATGCCGAGGTGTATAATGTGCCTCTGGATGCTCAGGTAAAGAGATACGTTTCAGATTTTCAAACAAAAAACCTTTCTAGCCTGACTCAAATTGAGCGTTTGGAGAGAATTCTGTTCCCATACTGAAGTTGTCATTGATTTCCTTGGGATCAAGACTTTGCATGTTGTAGGTTATTTCGATCAGGCCTCATATTGCACACCAAGTCAGGCGTGCAATAACAAGAGGGCACAGGTATGTACACTGGTTTTCTTGGTTTTCTGTTTTGTACTGTGTCTGTTTTTCTTTCACCTCCACAAATGATATGAGAGATAAAATAGGAACATGACTGCTGTTTGTTTGTTGTTCTTTTTTATGAAGTCAAATTTAAATTGCAAATAGAACCTGTTTTGGAAGCTCACAAATACATCTTAAGCAAAACAAAAAAATGTCAGAAAATAAGACTGCTGCATCCCAGTTCTCTGGACTAGTGACAAAAGCAATGTGTGAGACTGGTTTGAAAGATTTGCAAATAGTCTGTGGAGACACTCGTGTAAGGTTTTCTTCTTCTCTGTAAGGCAGGCGTTAGAACTGTTCTATATGAAAAAAGAAAAAAAAAAAAAAAGACCAGCAGTGAAATGGAGAACACTACAAGATAAAAGTAGGGTTTTTTCAAAATCATCTCAAGCTCTATATTACATGCTCCATGTTGTTTACACGTTCAGTGTTAGTATTTAGTTTCTGGTTAAACGATAAGGTGAGCACTATGCTTTTAATCTGCATATCTTGTGTGGGCTACCACTCAGAAGTTTACCACAGCCATGTTTCGAAGGGAATATGATTTCATGGTGTCAGTATTCTGTGAATGGTTCTACTAACAGCAGTGGAAACTGCATTCAGTACCTGTTTTGGTGACTGAGAAGCATGTAATGCAAGGAAGAAATTGGCTTTTATAGAGGTAATAAAAGTTTTGAGGTACTGAATGGTGGGCATTTTTAAATGAAACACCTACGCTTCTGACATGTGGAATTTTACTTGAGACCTGGAACCCCTTACACATTTATTACAGGTTTCAACGTTTCCTCAATCTGTGTCATTACATTTTTTCCATCTTTAAAAAACGAGCTGCGGACAAGAAGGTGATTCAGCAGAAAATACCACTTTTATGGAAGCTGTATTTTTCTCCCATTTTAAGCCTTATACCGACAAATTTTTAAGTCATCATCTTCTAAAGAGAATTTTCTCTTTTCCTAACAGTCAAAATACAGTCATTGTTAGTTCTGAACTTCAGAATCATTTTTTTGCCCCAATTCAGAGGCTATTACTATTAGTGCTTAAAACTTGAGATGCGTTTATGTTCTACATATACCTGCATTTTTTATTATTAACATTTTTCAATTGATTTTAAATGCGATTCAAATATAGGATCATTATATAAGACAAAAGGATCTTTATAGGGGGAGAAGTTTTTTTCACCATGCTGCTGCTGTTTTGACTATCCTCATACAGTAATGGTAGTAATAGTAGTAAAATGCCTCTCCTTACCTCTGTGCTAATTTTTCTTAGAAAATGAAAATACTGCACATAATGTTCACCAAAGTATTAAATATATTTTTAATTATCAGTGAAGACAATGTGTGAAGCTGCCAGCTTGAAATCGATGTGTTAATTTAAATCTTCACTTGAAGAATATAAACAGATAAGAAATCATTCCCTTGTAATTCATTCTGATGCTTTCCTGCTATCCATCTAGCAACTCTTGTTCTACGATGAAGAAACATTTCTAACTCAACTTTTATTTGAGCAAATAGTTGGGAAAGATCTGTAAGCAGAGATCTGGTTTATTTTGTAGGAACATGACTGTCTGGGAGCTGTGTCTGTGGGATTTCTTGATGTTTCAGGGCTTGCCTTTGCAGCTTCTAATCTCATGCAGACCTTGAGAACTGTTCCTTGTACTCATATGCACCAGACCAAAGATGGGGGAGGAAAAAGGCGCAAGTTTGAGGAGATGAGACTGTTAGCTGGGTACAGCTCACCTGAACAGTGTGGGACCACAAGACCAGTGTTGCTGAGGGCTCTTTCTGTTCCAGTCAGTTTTCCCTTGAGGAACATCTGAAATCTCAGGCAGCTGTTTTCTGGAGATCTCAGCGTCTGCATTTTTCCCCCTGTTCTTGCCCATTACTGCAGTCTATGTACTCTTGCAAAAGAGGTGGCTTTCTTTTCTAAAAATGTAACAGGAGCTTGTGCTGTTTAGTGATGCTTATTTAAATGTTAAATTGACATAGTCTGGCTTTAGGACTAGCTATGCAATATCTAGTTTCTTACAATGGATGAATGTGATATTCCAGATTCTTATGAAATAGGTTTTTTTTAAAGTATTGAAAGCTTTCATTGGGCAGGACAAATAAGACATTTTTTAAATCCCCTTTTGCAGATTTTTGTGGTAACTTTTTGTTTTAAATTGCTTTTGAATACTTGTGCAGCCAGTGAAGTCAGATTGCTCAAGTTTTCCTTGATTAATGTTTTGTTTTTCCCCTAGGGGACATTCATTTAATTTGTTACTGAATTTTCAAAGGAACGAGAAAAGAGATAGCAATTTTTGTGGAAGATCTGCCTTGTACTGATTAAGACTTTAAGGCATAAATCTTGAAGCCTCCTACTCTAATTTTAAAAATAGAGGAAAGCTTTAGCTGGGAGGAATCTGGGAATAACCTTTTTTAGTGAGTAGCTGGCTGACAGTGAGAGTGGTGGTCAACATATTTGCTCACATGTACATACAAACCTTGATTCACTGACTTGGAGTTTATTTTTCCATCTGAAGCACTGTTTATGAAGCTCCCACAAAGTATGCTTTTATGTTTTTAAAGCATGTCTAAGATGAATTATCAAATAACTTACCCTTTGTTTTTGTTTGTTTTTGGCAGGCTGATGACAGCAAAACATCAGTGAGGGATCGATTCAACGCGAGACAGTTTATGTCGTGGTTACAGGACGTTGACGATAAGTTTGACAAATTGAAGGTATACATCTTCATCTCTCCATATCTTTAGGGGAAAAAGTGCCTCTAATGTCACTACAAACTACAAAGATGAGATGAATAACTACATTAAGAAACCATAGATTTGTATATGTATTTGTATATATTCGCAAAATTTTAAGTTATTGTAAATATGTTAAGGGCAACATGAATGAAGGTCTAGTAATATTTAAAAAAAAATGTTGCCATATAATTTAATGGAATAATCTGTAACATCTTAAATATGTAGTGGGGCAGTTACTACCATCAAAGATGCTCCTAGATCTTTTTTCTGTTCTTAATATTTTTGTTGCAATGTGGTGTGTGGGTTTTTTTTTTTTTCAAATATTTAAATTTCTTCTTTCTAATTTCAAAATAGACGTGCCTTTTGATGAGGCAGCAGCATGAAGCAGCAGCTTTAAACGCAGTACAAAGACTGGAGTGGCAGCTTAAACTGCAAGAACTTGATCCTGCTACTTACAAATCTATCAGCATTTATGAAATTCAAGAGTTTTATGTTCCTCTTGTTGATGTTAATGACGACTTTGAATTGACACCAATATGACAACTCGTATCTTCTGGCCCTTCCCATGGAAAACTAGAGACTGAGGTGCAGTGATACACAAGGTTTTGTTTGTTTGTTTAAGACGGGGCACTTAATTCTGTGGAATACTGCCTTTCTTAATAATTCAGGTATTCCTTCAGAAAAATGTTGTGTGGGGTCTTGTTCGCAATACAGAAGACGGATGCTAACTTTGAAGTCAGTTTCCCAGTAAATACCATTATCTGTATTTTAAAAATGCTTACAGCTTTAGAGCTTATTGCTGAAAAAGATGACGAAACATGGTGAGTTAACAGCGCTGGAAGCTGTTAATAACAAAAACAGCCACCAAAAAAAAAAAAAAAACTAAAATCTGCTATAAAGCTTTGTATAATGAAATTTCAGTAACAGTTGAACTCCCACAGAAAAATGATGAAAAAGCCTGTGGAAGACAATATATGACTTGGAGGAAAATAGTCTATTAATCTTATTATATTTTGTAAATTACTGTACAGTTTTCTTTTTTGGGAAAAAAAAAAGATGTAATATTGTCTTCATTTTTAAATAATTTATTTTATACATATTGTGTAAATGTAAATAGTCTTGTAATTAATGTTCAAACCTGTATAATATAGATATTTTAACTGTAAAACTGTTTTTGTCTAATGTTTTATTGGACCAAAGTTGTTGTTTTTATTAAGTGTAGTGTGTTCCTGGTTGGCAGTTCTTTTTAATATGGCATGTGTTTGAGTTGAGCTGATTGTTTCATCACCATAACTGTAAAAGAATTGAAACTGAACTGTATTGCATGCTTCACAGAACCCGTAACTCCTTTACTTCAGTAACTGATACCTAAACAACTGTAGCATTTACAAAAAACATATTTCATATTAGTCTGCTGTTGTAATGCCATACCTATGACTTACTATGCTGAAAATATTTTTGTGTAAAACAAAAACAACAAAAACACGACAAAAAAAATTCTCTTATATGGTGGTCTCGTAATAGAGCCTATTTTTTCCAACAAAATGCCTTTGAATGAAAATTCTTAAATTGTATATTGTCTATTTTAATAATCTATGGAAGGATATGTAAATATGTGTAAATACAATGTTTAATAAATTTTATTGGTCATGTTACTAGTTGGAATTTCTTCTTAATTTGTAACATTTGATTATTATGAAATGTCATCATTCCTGTTATAGGATGTATGTAGAGAGGCTCAACCAAAACCAAAATTTTATGCTTTTTTTTTTTTTAATCCTTAGAACTGTGAGTAGTTAGTTAATTATTTACTATGAGAAGGTTATAGATATTCATGAAAAAGATTTGTTACAGTCTAGTCCATAAATTATTCAAGAATGCTTGGGATCTGGTGTCTGTGAAATTCATTTTGAAAGAAATGGGGCTTTTGCAAGAGAGGCGGTTACCTGGAAAAGAGATTACAGTACTTGGTTTGAACTGATTTTTAAATACCAGGTGAGAGAACACTCACTCCTTACATGTGTGAATGCCCAGGTACCTTTGTGGTGATGGAGAGCAAACTGAGCGTTGAGAGACTACACAGACAGCAGACTCCTTCCTGTATGCACATCGGTGCCAGTTCAAGTCAAGAATAAAGTGACAGTAACTCAAGCACAGTAAAACTGGATTAAGCATACATTCATATGTAATTCCTGCCCTATGCTTCTTTTTTTTTTCCAGCTTTTAATTTGCAAGGTATTGGAGGAAGGAGTTGTTTGTGCTTTTATATGGGACTGCCTACCTGATGTCACAGAGAATTGAAAGCAGAGTAAGGAAAATGCAAACACAGTGTTATTCTGAAAGTCAAATTTTCACAGCTGCTTTTGGATGAGTTTTTAAAATGACACAGAAATCTGAGTTGTCACCTGCTGAAAAAGAAAAAAATGGATAAAACTGCAACTAGTAAATGGGTGTGAATTTATTTCCGTCAGATTATTTACAGAGTAATAAAAAGTAAACGTACAAATCTGGAAGTGGGCAAACCTACTATAGGTTTCTTGGAGTATGGGATGTGAATGCCTCATGAAGAACAGAGCAGCTGCATTGGGTTGTGGGAGTGTGTTAGGCAAGAAGTGAGTGACAAAAAGTTTGGAGGAGGGTTTGGAGGAGGTGATGGGGTGGATGTGGAGTTGGGATGGGGGAATCGAGCAGAGCCGCAGCTTGCACAGGCAGCGAGCGGGTCCAGGAGGGCTGAGCAGGGGCAAGGCTTCAAGCTGTTCACAGTGCTCTGGGAGTTTCAGCACATTCTTGGATGAATTAAAATTATTTTGACAGTACAACTTATATGGAGATCCGCAGATGGATGTTTCTCAGGCATAGCCTTAACACGGGGAGATGCCTTGCTGGTATCGGTGTCACACAACAGGTTATGTTTTGATACCAATCAGTAAACGTCGCCTTGCCCACGGGGTAGCCTCAAGCGTCGCAGTCCCAGGGACAACACTCCCTGTGTGAATCCGGATTGTGTTCCAGCCCCGTTTGTGCACGTTTACACTGTGTGAGGACCCAGCGCGTGCCTCCAGCATTTCCACCGTGCCATGCGAGCCGGGAGGGCTGAGGCGAAGCACGGCATCACCTCGCTGGGGAGAAGGCCGTGATCCCCTCCAAAGAGCCAGGCTGCCTCCTGGAAGCCTTGAGGGGGGATTGTTGGGTTTCTCCTGGCTTTTTTTTGGTCCCTTGCTTCCAGGGACCGAGCTTGTTTTTTGGGACTGGGCACCTGGGGGGGTGAAGCAGCGCCACGTGGCCGTTTTGGGGATCAGATCCCCTTGTCTCCAGCTTTATTTCCGAGCAGCAGCCAGCGGGCGGTGCACGACCTCGCAGCTTTCTTCCCCCCCCCCCCCACCCCGAGGGCTGCCCGCAGATGCCACCTCACGGCCCCGCGGAGCCTTCATCCCCCTACCCCTCTCCTCCTCCTCCTCCACCTGCTCCCCGCGCCGCCCCTAGCGGCTGCCGCCAGCCCGGCTCCCGACCCCTTTGTTCCTCCGAGCACCCCCCAAAAAACCCCTCCCCGGCTCCTTTTCGGCTCCCCTCAGCCCCAAACCCGCCCCGGTTGCGCTCGGAGGGCGGGTCCCGGCGGCTCCCCGAGGCGGGGCCGCCCGCGGCCGAGCGAGGGCCGGGCCGGGCCGGGCCGGGCCCATCCGCGCCGTCCCTGCCGGAGCCCCGGAGCCGCCGCTGGAGCGCGGGGGCTGCCCCCGGCCCGCGGCGCCGCCGAGCGGTGAGGGGAGCCCCGGGGGGAGGCGGTGAGGGGCCGGGGGGGGGGCTCGGGGAGAAGCCGGGGGAGCCGAGCGGGGCCTTTGGTGCCCCGGCAGCCGGAGGGAGGCGGCCCGGCCCGGGGTTTTTTCTCCCCCCCCTCAGTGAGAACAATGCGGCCTCGCCGAGAGCCCGGCGCGTCCCGGTCCCGGCTCTTTTTTTTGTGTGTGTGTGTGTGTGTGTGTATTTTTTGTATTTTTGTGTTTTTGTTTGTTTGTTTTTTTTGTCCTTTTTCTTCGGGTTCGCTTCGCCGCTGCTCCGCTCCGGCCACCTGCAGCGCCCCGGGGAGCGCCGCGCCGCGCTGCGAAGCCTCCGGGATCCGCACCGGGATCGGGCTTGGGGGCTTTTTTTTTTTTTTTTTTAGCCCCGTTTAACTCTTATTTACTTATTTATTTATTATTTATTTTATTTTTCAGCCCGAAAATAAAACTTAACAGCTTCCTGCGTGCCCCCGGCAGCAGCGGCTGAATTGGGGGTGACGCCGGTTTGGCTCCGCTGTGGTCACCCGGGGCTATCTGCCAGCCCTATGGGTGTCCCCGTTGGGATTTCCCCCTTTTTTTTATTTTTATTTTATTTTTTTTCCTTGTTGCTGCTTATGGGGTGCAGGGTGAGCTCGGGGCCGCTCACCCCAGCCTCACCGCGGCGTTAGCCCAGAGGAGCCGCAGCAGAAAGCTCCGGATAAAGAAGTTTGATCCTGGGGGGAGGAGGGCTCCGACCTCCCTTACGCTGCCAAAAATGCCATATTTAATCTCTTTTCTTTCCAGGAACGGCAAGGGGGAGAGGAATTGAGATTTAACCATCGGCTCCAGCAGCCCCTCGAGGTTGCCCTCTCGGCACCATGAGGCCCCGGCACGTGGCGGCGCCCACGGCCACGGCGCTGCTGCTGCTGCTCCTGCTGTGGGCCCAGCCGGCCGCCGGCTGCAACAAGGCCCTGTGTGCCAGCGATGTCAGCAAATGCCTCATCCAGGTAGGGTCAGTAGGTTTTTGGAGCCTTGCCTCTTCGTTAGCGATGCTTGATTAGCAGGCAGGGCTACCTAAGAATGGTCTAGTGAGGTGAACGAGGGGGCAGTGGGTGTTAAACACGAGTCCAGCCTTCATATGGTCAGCTCCAGCTTCTTTAAACCATTTCTTAGTGCCCCTTTGTAGACTGGGAAAGGAAAAGCAGAGAGCACAGATACCGTATGCTAGTAAGTCATTCAGTAAATGTACAATTACCATCTGAAAAACGATGCGGAGGTGGCATGAAGCATCTCCATGTGCACTTCATTCTGTATAAATCTTATTTATCTGGTTTGTGCATAAAAATAGTTGCCAGATTCACAAGCGCACCCAGCAGAATGAAGACTGGCTGTTCGACTGAACCACCTTCTTTGTGGCTTCTACACCACCATCACTTTAAATTAAAAATATATAAGGATAGTAAAAAAAGTGCTGCTTCTCCTAGCTCAGCCATTGTCTATAGAGTTGTTAAATGTGTGGGTGAGAGAGGAACTTTTGACTTTCTCCTTCTTGAAGACGGTGCTGGTGTTTGTGTAGATGTGCCAGCCATCCTTCCCTTGCGTTTTTTCGTGCCACCTCCAGGCGTGAAGCCTGCCCAAAGTAAGGGGGTTCGCTTGACCGTCACATCACGCGGTTCCCTGTCCTATTTTCACAACCCTCCCAGCTTGGCACGAGCCACAGCTTGCAGCTGAGAGGGGAGCAAGCAGGACGTGGCGTTTGCCAGCTGCAGGCAGGACGCGGGGCTGTGCCTGGCTGAGTGGAGCGGGGAGGCAGAAGAAAAAGCGCCCTGAAAAGCACACAGTTAACGTAAATATTTCTTGCCAGCATTGCTAGAAGTCAGCACAGTCCTCACGGCCACTCCTCGCGAGCTGCTCTGCGTAAGGGTGGTCCCTACATAAATATTTATTTTGTTAGGTCCAGGATGGAGCATGAGATCAACAGCTCGCACGCATTCGGCTTGCGGCTTGCGTCTGGAGGGCCCTGGCTTCGCTGGTGCTTTCGTGTTGTGCTTTTTTGTTTTCTGTAAGCAAAGATCTGCAAGAAAATAGCTGGAGGCACCTCTCCGCATCAGCTTAGCCTGCATGGAAACTTTGCAGCTCCCTGCAGTTGGTGGAGGAGCTGCGGGTGGGACCTAGGAGCGTAGGCAGGGAGGGACCACAAAGTTGGTTCCCTCCAAGGCTTTGGATGCAGCTCCTTCCTGGGCCCCAGCGACTTGGGGTTGGGGTTGGGGTTGGGGTTAGGATTAGGATTAGAGTGGCTGTTGCATCGTTTCCCAGGTAGGCAGCTGACCCTGAGCCTTGCCCCACGCCTGCATTCCAGGATCTTGCAGATCCCTCCGGTTAATGAAGTGGAGCGTGAGGCTCTGCCCTTCGTTCCCCTTAAAATCTCCCTTCCTCTGGGTCTTCACCTCCTGGGAATCTCAGGCCCAAACTCCTCAGCATTTCCAAGACCTTTTTTTGTTTTGTTTTTTGCCCCGTGGTATGAAATAAACACCCCCTTTCCGCTTTGGGGCTGACGTATCCAAAACTTGCTGTCGGCCTGCGTTCTGTAGCCGTAGTACGTAACACAGTTGGGTTAACAGCATTATTCCGGCTGGTTTGCTTCCAGGAGATTTGCTGTTATTAACTGTTCTAGGAAAAAAAAAAAAAGAAGAAAAAACACATTAGCTCTTTTTCTTTCGCTCCCCCCTCCAGTTTGCAAAGAGGCTGCCAATGCCTTCAGGTCCTGTTTCTCACCGCGCCGAGAAAATAGCCTGTGTCGCTTCAAGAAAGCTTTGAAAAAATGCAGATGTTAAAAAAAAAAAAAAAAAAAAAGAAATTCTTTTATTTGCTCTGCGGAACAGAAATATCTCGATTGTACAAACATG